GAGCAGGACTTCATACCAGGCCAGCCTTTCCCCAACTCTTGTGGAGTGGGGAATAAAACCCAGGAGCAGCCCAAAAGCATCTCTGCTGGAGGACCTCAACTAGGAGCACAGCACCTTCCTCCACTAACCCTACTGAGAGCCCACCCACGCTGCCAACAGCAGCTCTGCTCACACCTCCTCACAGCCACCACTCACCAGTGCAGCAAAGTACTCCGTCTCAGTCTCCTTCCCTCCCCGCGAGCGGATCACCTCTGTCACTGCTGCCAGCACAGCGCAGATCTACAAGCAGCAAAGAGAGCAAGTCAGTGCCCACAGCCTCACACCTGGGGGGCCATCTCCACCAGACCCCCTGCCCCAGCCCTGCTCCTGCCCATACCTCTTTGTGAGCAGCAGAGTTAGATTCCCAGAAGCGCTGCACCTTGCTGAAGGTGGCATTGGTGCAGTCGCTCAACCCGCTCAGGAAGGTGCCAGAGGACTTCTCTGTCGCAGCTTCTGCAGCACCATCCTCCTCCATACGGAGCTGGGCACTGTCACTTGTCCTCTCCAAACGCAGGGACCCCGACTGCAGCTCATTGTGCAGCTTCACCGCATCCACTGTCAGGTTACTTTTCTCTGCCGGGGGAAGAGGTGCATTCAGAAAAACAAAGCTGTCTTGTTCCACTGTTCACCCCAAAACCCCCATCAGCCAGACCCACTTGGCTGGAGCTCATCTCCAGGGTATGGGACACTGATGCTGCTTCCTCCTGATGGCAGAAAGCACAATAACTAGAGAGAGCTCCTCATTCCTATATAAACAAGCCAGGGCACAGTCCAGCCACCTTCTCTGATGGAGGAGAGCATCATGTCTGCACAAACATGCCCTGCCATACCAAGGCTTTAACACTGAGGTGCCTCTTGTATTCTGCCCCATTCATCTTCTTCTACCTGGAACCCTGGCAACCAAACAGCCATAGCATATACTTCACATTCCTCTGGGACCCACACACCAGCTTGCAACCAGCTGCAAGAGGACAGCGCATGCCACAAGACACATTTCTGTACCAGCAGAATGTTTTTGGGAGCTGAATCGCTCCCGCCATGAGGAGGGTCACACTGCCAGGACAGCACATATCCCAGCTGCGAGCAGGACCCTCACTGGGCCCTGGCAGGACGACAGGCACTGCTGCATGCCGTGCCGTTTCACTCCACGGCCCGGTGTCGGGGTGAAGGCAACAAGGCCATGCTCGTTAACGCCGTGGGCTCGGTTCCCCTCCCGGGTCTGCTGCCTCCGCCTCCTGAGGCTGTAGCTCGGGGATCAGCCCCGGGTCCTCCTACCCCAACCCCAGATATCGGGAACCACGGACTTAAAGGCTCGTCCCGCACCCCCCAGGCGTCCCTGCACTCCCGCCGGGAAGGCGGGCCCCCGCTCCCCGCCCGGCCGGCGCCTGCGCTCACCCGCGGGCCGGCTGCAGAAGCGACTGCGGGCGGCCAGGCGGTGCTGGCGCGTTTCGGGGTTGCTGTCGCTGCTGTGGCCCTTCCGCCACCGCTTCAGCTTGGCGGCGGCACCCGACCGGAGACGCCCACCCCGCGCCATGCTGCACCCGGCTCCACGTGCGGCCGCGCCACGCACACATCCCCTTCCGCTTCCGGCGCCCGCCGCCATCTTGAGTGAGGGCACGGCTGCCCTCAGCACCAGGCACCTCCCACTGAGGCGGGGGACCAGGAAAGCGAAGCTGGGTCGGGCGGGTCAGGACTCGGATGCGTGCCCCGGTGTGACACCGTTTCGCACCGGGTACCGCAGCCTGCCGGAGCTGCCGCGGAGAGCTCCCGGGTACGCCCTATGGCGCGGTGACGTCACGCCCTGAAGGTCGCACCGCCCTTCGCGGCCCCGCCATACGCTACGTGCGATTCCCCCTGACCGCCAGCTTCGCGCATGCGCCGCTCGGGGAGGAGGCGGGGCTGGGCCGGCTGCGTCGGTCGCGCGCTGCAGCGGCGTGAGGAGAGAGAGAGCGAGAGCGCGCGCGCGCCGGTCAGCCCGCCCCTGTCTCCCGCCTCGCCGCCGCTCCGCCATGGCCGCCTATCGCCTCGTCCTCGTCCGCCACGGGGAGAGCGCGTGGAACCTGGAGAACCGCTTCAGCGGCTGGTACGATGCCGATCTCAGCCCCGCCGGGCAGCAAGAGGCGCGGCGCGGCGGCGAGGCCCTCCGAGGTACCGGTGACCGGGGAAGAGGGAGGGTGTGGGGGGGGTGATGTGTGGATTAAGGTGTGTGGGGGGGGTGGGGATGTGCGGCCGCCTCGGGCCTCGTGAGGAGGGTTTGGGGTCCTCCGATGCCGGGGGGTGTTCTCTGGTGCTGGGGCGGGACTTTAGTACCGAAGGGGGAGTATCAGGTAACGGGGCGGGGGGGGCGGTTCTCCGTTACCGGTCACGTCCCTGCCATCCGTGCCCGGTAGCCGCGCGGTGCGGCTGCCATGCTCGGCACCTCGCGGGCTGCGTAAGGCCCGGCTCTAACCTCCCCGGTGTCGCCCCCCCCCCCCGCCCCGTTCCTTCTTGTTCCAGATGCCGGCTATGAGTTCGACATCTGCTTCACCTCGGTGCAGAAACGGGCCATCCGCACTCTCTGGACCGTCCTGGATGCCATCGATCAGATGTGGTTACCCGTTATCCGAACCTGGCGCCTGAATGAGAGGCACTACGGGGCTCTCACGGGATTGAACAAGGCTGAGACGGCGGCGAAGCACGGTGAGGCACAGGTGAAGATCTGGAGGCGCTCGTATGACATCCCTCCGCCTCCCATGCAGTCCGATCACCCCTTCTACAGCACCATCTCCAAGGTAAGACCCGTTGCTCTTAGTCCGCCTTGCTGGAAGCTCGTAAAAGACACATTAGGTCCCTGCAGGGTGATGTGGCTTCCTCCACAAGGTCTCCTCTGTCTCTGTTGCAGCAGCCAGGTGATTGCACATGATGCTCATTGGCTTTGGGCTGTTCGTCCCACTCCTTCCCAGGGGAGTTGAAGCCCTGGGCATTGCACAGACAGATTCAAACCGGAAGGGATGATATCTCTGTTAATGATTATTCCCATGACCTGTGCATGGAGGTTTATTCTGGTGTCTTTGCCCAGAGCAAGCGACATGTGGCTTTCCCTGGGAGGGGCTCAGCCCTGATTGCAGCCTCAGGCTGCTAACATGCTGCTATGCTTCCAAGCCTGTCTAGTGGGTGCTCAGGTGGAGAATTTAGGGGAGGGACAAAGGCCTTGCCACTGCCTTCCCGCACTGCTTGGGTGCACTGGGCTGCTGCATGATCGTGGCTTTTTCCCCAGGACCGTCGCTATGCTGACCTGACAGAGGACCAGCTGCCAACATGTGAGAGCTTGAAGGACACCATTGCCCGGGCTCTGCCTTTCTGGAATGAGGAAATCGTCCCGCAGATCAAAGAGGGCAAGCGAGTCCTTATTGCTGCCCATGGCAACAGCCTGCGTGGGATTGTCAAGCACCTGGAAGGTACATCAGCCCTGCAGGGATATCACGAGGGTCTCCCCTGGTGCGAGCAGGGCCACAAGTAACAGCCCATCTGTGTTTGCAGGTATGTCAGAAGAGGCCATCATGGAGCTGAACCTGCCCACTGGCATCCCCATTGTCTATGAGCTGGACAAGAACCTGAAACCTGTCAAGCCCATGCAGTTCCTGGGGGATGAGGAGACAGTGCGCAAGGCCATGGAGGCCGTTGCTGCTCAGGGCAAGGTCAAGAAGTGAGAGCAGGCAGCAGGCTATTAAGTAGTAGAGGCCCCCACCCCCTCCTCCCCTCTGTGCACACCCCTCACAGCTGTAGGAACTTGGAGCTGCAGAACTGGAGCAGCTCCCCAGGATTAGCCCTATTCCCTCGGGACCAGGCTCCCCTCTGCAGACAGCTTGGGGTGAGGGGCTGTGTGTGGAGGGCTGTGTGAAAGGGAGTGCTGGTTCTGTCAGGCAGCAGCCACACATCTCTCCTTGAAAAGATCCCAGCCCTCGGGCCCTGTCTGCAGGGGGACGTGCTGAGCGATCCCTTGCTGTGCCAGGCTTCTCTGCTTTGCTTCCTGGCAGCTCTTGTCCCCCGGTTACTGTTGCTTGGTTTAGTCATCCTGGGAGCAGTGGGGTGAGCGCAGCGTAGGCAGCAACCAAAGTGGGGACCCCATCCCCTTGTGGGTTTGGGACTGGGATGTGTGGATGCTGAAGGGATTGTGTTTTGGTGCAAGTGGTACTTGTGACCCTGGACGTAGCCCTGCCAGCCCCTGCTTTAACTTATTGCCTCTGGACAAGGGCGAGGGAGCCTGTCGGCCGGAGGTTCGTGCCCACCACATACTTCCCCCAGCTGAAGCCCATCCCAGTCCTGCTAGTGAAGCAGATGTCATTGTCCCCACCTCACCTGCGTGTACGTGGCCCTGTTGCTGTGGCCTCCCCCTCTGCCCATGCCACAAGCCTGGGGCCACGGGGGGGGGCCTGTAACTGTCCAACGTTAACAGCTGTCTTGTTCCACTTCAATAAAGGAGTAATGCGCAATAACGGGGAGTCTGAGCATTGCTGTGCCTGGGTGGGTGCGGCTCCCTCCCTGTCCAGCACCACGTGTGTGTGAGGCAGCAGTTGGGAACCAAGCTCAGCTCCGCAATCCCGCCCGAGGGTGACACCCAGCCCTCATGCTGTGGGTTTAGGCCACACCCAGAGGCAACGGGCAGGAGGATACGCAGGGCCCTGGGCTGAGCACAGCTGCCCCGCACCAGTTACTGGGGTAGGGCAGGGAGGAGAGCTGCTCCCTGTGTGTGGAAGCCTGGTGAAGTGAATGCCCAGAGCTCTGGGTTGTTCACATCACTGCAGCAGCACCACTGGGCTGGGAACACGTGCATCTTCATGGCATGGTACTGTGAAAGCTGCCCCATAGCAGCTCCCCTATGAGTGCCAGAGCAGCGCCTGTGCAGCCCCAGCCACACCTCTGGGCTGTAAGTGGTCACAGCACAGAGCTCTCAAAAAATATTTATTATCTGAAAATTGATTCTGCCAGCAAGGGCCTGGCTGGTGCACCTCCCTGGCCCGGGGCTGCTCTGGCCCTACAGCCCCTCATCCGGCAGGTCCCCTCGCGGCTGCTAGGTCTGCAGGAACTCAGGCTGCACGCGGGCCACCTTACGGAATTCCTTGGTGTGTGTCCGTGGGCACTGCATCTCACACCAGCTGATGGGCACCATCTGCATCCCTGGGATGCCACATGTCAGGGTTCCGCTTCCTGAAATCATGCTCCTCCACGTGGAAAGGGAGGAGGAAAGGCAGACAGGAAGCAGCACTGCCATATCCCTACCTGCATCGCTGCGTGCTGCCACCACACCCAGCTCATTCTCTGCTGTGGTCAGGAGGTAGTTGGACTGTGAGTCCCCCAGCGAGATCTGGTCAGACACGGGTTAAGGGAAAGGCCCCCCAGAGGAGATTCCAAACCCCCTGTCCCTGGCAGTAAGAGGAAAGGATACGACTTTGGCCAGGACTATGTCACCAGGGCGGAAACTCTTGTACACTTCCACCTGCACGGGAGAGAGCAGGCAGAAAGGCTCAGTGTGTCAGGGTGCTTGTCAGCAGCAGGACAGGTGCCCCCCACCAGCAGAAAGCAGGGCAGCCGCAGCAGCACAGCCACAGGCAGCACCTCACTGACCTTATCTTTCTCTGTGGCTCGAATATCTTCTTTCCTGAAAAAGGAAACAGAGGGATCTGAGTGGCAGAGAGTGAAGGCAACTCTGCAGCCTGCAGCAGGAGCTGCCCAGGCCTCCCTGGGTGCTCCCAGGACACCTTGGATTCCTGCCCAGTGCTCAGGGCAAAGATCCTGCCAGGGCAGCTGCTGCACTGCCCAGAAAAGCCTTCCCCCTCCCTAAGGATGGGACACTTGGACCCCATCTCATGAGGAACCATCCCTCTCCCTACCGTATGGTCCCCCGGAAGATGGATTTCAGTGGTGTGGAGCCGATGTACAGGATGTGCACCTTGGCAAAGCGAGAGTTAATGCTGCAAACCTGCCAGGAGGAAAATGGGAATCAGTGCCAGCAAAAGCCTGCTCTCACCCTGGAGAGCAGGGGAACAGGGAAAGGGCAGGGTACAGGCAGGACAGGCCTGTATGTGGGGAGCGCATGTCTCACTCTGCCTCCTCCTCATGACCAAACAAGCAGTGGAGATAGGATGCCCAGTGAGGAAGACGATACTTGTTCAACTCAAGACACGTGAATAAGGCAAAGACCTACTGTGATCCCAGCCCCTCTCCCACCATAGGCAAACTAATGCCTGGTCAGTGCCACCCTTTCTCCAAGCTGTCCCAGGCACTGCCCTCCATACAAAGAGCTGTGGAAGGGAGAGCAAAGGAAAACCTCCCTTCAGCCCACCTCAGGCAGGCACCATTGCGAGGGAGGTGTCCCCCCCATGCCAATATCTGGCTCCTTTGATAGTAAGGGACCCAAGGGTGCCAGCAGGCTCCCTCTGCCCTGCTGGGGGTTCTGACAAGCTCAGGGGCTCCTCATCTCACCCCAAACGTGCGAACAAAGACTTCAGTTTGCCACCACAGTGCACTCTGTCACCCTACCTTGCATGTCACCACGACTCCCACGTCGGGCAGGAGCTGGGGGTCACTGTCTCTCACCACAGACACAACGGGCAGCTGCAGGGCAGCGGACACAAGGGTTAGCTTGGGGCACAGGATAACAGCAGGCACGGGCCAAATCCCATCGGAGCCCAATGGGAAGGGGCCGCGCGGCCTCAGTGCCCAGCAGCCGGCTCCGGGGCCGAGCTCCATGCGCCGCTCCGTGCTCACCCCGCTCTCCTCGCTCGTCTTCTCCACGCACCCAGCCAGCGAGGAGAAGATGAACCCGTGCCGGGTGTAGGTCCCGCTGCCAGCCGTGGCCTCCTCCGCGCTGCACAGCCGCTCGCCTAAGGGGCGAGCCCACACTGCCAGGGAACCTCCCGCGCCGGCGGCCCAGGCCCCGCACCGCCCATGCCCGCTCCCGGCCGGCCCAACGCGGCGGGGCAGCGCTGCTCCGGGGGGGGCAACCCCCTTCCCACAGCCTCGGCCTCTCCATACTCCTCCCCCGGGCCACCCCGGCCTGGGCACCCCGCAGCTCCAGGGCCCCCCCTCTCCTCACCCGCACTCACCGGGGACACAGAGCCGCTCCGGAGTATCCATATTCGCGTCCGGGAGCGCACCTGGAGAAAACCCTCACCCTATTGGTCCTCGGAGTCAATGCTGCGATCTAAGCGGCGCAGCTATTGGTCCTTCCCTACCCGTGAGCGCGCTGCCCGCTGGGAGTTGTATGCCAGCGCCGGCTGCGGCCGCGTTCCAGCATGCTCGGCGCGCAGGCGCAGTGCGCGGGTCGGCGGGCGCTGCCCGTGTGCTGTGGAGCGGCGGGCGGCGGGCATGGAGGCGGCGGGCGGCGGGCGGCGGGCGGCAGGTCTGCTCCGGGCCGGTGGGACCGGGAGGGGACCGGGCCTGCAGGGGGCTGGGCGGGCCGGCAGGCACCGCAGGGGTGGGATCTATCGCCCCGGGGATGCTGTAGGTCTGGAAGGGCCGGAGTGCTGCAGGGCACTGGATCCGGGTGTTGTGGGGCTGGATGCAGTGTGGCTGAGGGTTTGTGCTGTTGGTGTAGGCAGCCTTTGCGTGATGGGGTTGGGTGCCACAGAGCGGCTTTGCCTCCGTGCTGTGGGTGCTGGGTGCCACAGGAGGGTGCCACTGGGTTGCGTGGCTCTGGCAGGAGCAGTGCCTGCGGTAGGGCCGAATCTGAGGTTTCCCTCCCCCCCCCGGGCTGTGGTCTTGGTTATGCTGGTGGTTGCTCAGTGCCCCACTGGGATGTGGGGAGGGCCGAGGGCTGGAGCCCCCAGGGCTCACTGAGCTAGGGAGGGTGCCTGGCCCTGCTGGAGCCTCACACCTGCGGCTGTGCTGCTGTCTGCAGGCAGGTGCCTGGGAACAGAGCCGGGTCCTGCCCTGGGGCTGGTTTCCTCCTCTGTGGGCTCTCTGCTCAGCAGCTGCTGTAGGGGAGGAAGCTGTCCGAGGGGCAGGGAGCTGCTCTGTGTTTGGAGGGATCTGCTGCTGCTGCAGCACTTTCTGCTGTCACACTGACAGCACAGGGACATGTGCCACCCAAGGGCGGCACAGCAGGAAGTTGTTGCTCTGCTTTTCACCTGATGTGTTCCAGAGTCAAGGGGAAACATGGGGAAGGGGGTGTCACTGGGGTTTGCATATCCCACCTCTCCCTTACCAGGGCACAGGAAACCTGGGCAGGAGCCATTTCTGTGACCCGGGGTGGGCTGCTGGGTCTGGTGCCCTTGTGTCCGGCTGCTCCCAGCCTTGGGTCAGCCCCACGTGTGTCTGGCAGGGCAGAGAGGAGCCCTTCGCTCCTTTGGACAGCCCATTGGGATGCTGCAGCTCTTGCGTTGACCCTTCCTGCTGCTCCCTGTGCAGTGGATATGGCAGCACAGGGAGCTGATCCCCGCTGAGAGGACTCCGTGGTGTGGCAGCACTGCCTGGCACTGTGCCGAGGTGAACACTTGGCCCAGGCTCAGAACGTGCCTTGGCAGGACCCCGGGGCAGCCTCGCTGCTTAATATTGATGGGCAGTGCCTGCCCGGAGGCCTGGGGGCCCCGGCCCTGCAGATCACTTTCCCTGCTTATGGGCTGGATCGGGTTCCTCCTCATTCCCAGTGCAGCTCTTGAGTGGGATGAGGGGCTCCACAGACAGGGGAGCACTGCAGAGCATCGCCTTGGCCTGGAGCTGCCCTTTGCTGGTACATGGTCCAAGGTGGATGGGGAAGGAGAAGGCACTGGGACTCTCAGTAGGGCAGGGTGGCCTCTGCAGGTTGATCCAGAGGTTGTGGAACAGCATACAGGCCTTGCTTTTTGGTGATGAGGAGGGGGACTAGGAGAGATAGAGTAATATTGGTCCAGCTTTTCCACATACATCTTGTTCGGGTTCCCCCATTCCTGACCTGTTGGGAAGGGCTGGGTCTGGGATCATCCCTGGAACTGGCCCAGCATCATGGATGCTCTGGTGCCTTCTCTGGTTTCCCCTGAGTCAGACTCTCCGTGTCGCTGCCCCGGCCCCCTCCCCGCTGGGAAACACGAGATGAGACTAGAGAACACCTGAGCCCAGACACCGAGGGGCCTGTGCCCCCTGCTCCGTGCACAGAGCAGAGGTGTCCCAGCCGCAGCAGCCTCACAGTCTCCAGGAGCCCGGGCTCAGCTCCCCCTGCTCTGCATCCTTGTGCCGGGTGAAGGACAGGCCCCTGCTGTGCTGTGTGGCTGCCACCAGCACATCCTGGAGGGGCAGGAGGGCCTGCTCACGCTGAGCTGTCCCCGCAGGTGTGGTGCGGCAGGGATGAGGAGCCGGCAGCGCGTGTTTGCGGCGGCAATGCGCCTCCTGCTCCGGTGCCTGCGGCTGGGCCGGCGGCGGCGGTGCACGCTGGTGCGGCAGGCGGAGCAGCTCTGGCGCTACGGGCACCTCTGCCTCCGCTCCCTGCTCTACAACTCCTTCACCAATGGCGATGTGGTGCTTGACTCCCTCTTTGAGCCCATCTACTGGCTGGTGGACCACGTCACCCGGTGGTTCGGCGTGGTGAGTACCCTCACCGGGCTCTGGGGACTGGGATGAGCGTGATTCTGGGGCATCCGGGCCTCAGGGCTGCCTGTGCCCCAGGCAGGAAGGAAGTGGGACCTCAGTGTGTTGTTTTGATTGGTTTCCTGTGGCTGCATCCTGCCGGTGCCTCTCCCCATGGCAGCAGGGAACAGACACTGCACACTGTGGTGACAACAGCCCCCATTCACACAGGTGTTTGTGGCACTGGTGATCGGGCTGACGAGCTCCGTCGTGGCCATCGTGTACATCTGCCTCCTGCCCGTCATCCTGCAGACCTACACCCCTGCCTGGATCTGCTGGCACCTCGCCTACGGACACTGGAACCTCATCATGATCATCTTCCACTACTACATGGCCATCACCACCTCACCTGGGCATCCACCACAGGTGAGACACCAGCCAGCAGTGCAGCCTCTCCTGGTTGGGCACAGCTGCAGACATTCACTGGGAACAGCTAAACCAGCCTGGTGTTGTTGCAGGCTGCATACGGATAGGAGCAGCCAGGCTGGGTGAGGAGGTGGTGGTGCGGTCAAAGGGGAGGTGAAGAGCAGGGAAAATGGGATGGTTGCAGGGCTTGGGTGCACAAATCTCTTCTGACCTGTGCACAGGCCAAGGATGATCTCACCGGCGTCTCCATCTGCAGGAAATGCATTGCTCCCAAGCCTGCTCGCACCCACCACTGCAGCATCTGCAACAGGTAGGGCCCAACACAGCACTCAGGGCAGCCTCTGGGACCCCTCTCCTTGCCCCCTGCCACACTGAGAGATGGGGTCCCCCTCCCATCTGCTCCGCTGGCTTCTTGCCTCATCTCTCACACAGCCTGCAGGGCTGGGGGCTGCCTGCCCCCTCCCAAACACAGTGCTTGTGCTGACACTGGTGCTGCTCTCCTCCCTCCCAGGTGTGTGCTGAAGATGGACCACCACTGCCGTATCCTTTCACGGTACTAACCCATGGCACTCTCCTAGGGGAGCTGACCCTGCTTCCCCCTTCTCTCCCTGTCCTGCACCTCTCCTGAGTCAGCCAGCACAGGGAAGGATGCTGGGGGCTGGGCCCAGAAGAACGACCCTGGTCCCTGGGGTGGATTTGGACCCATGTACTGTCACAGTTACATACCCTTAATGCCAGAGGCAGCCTGGCTGAACAACTGTGTGGGACACTACAACCACCGCTATTTCTTCTCCTTTTGCCTGTTCATGACCATGGGCTGCATCTACTGCAGCATCAGTGGCTGGGAGATGTTCCGGGATGCCTATGCAGCCATTGAGGTGAGCCAGCAGCCCCCAGCCCTCACCCTGCCATGCACCGGGGCTGCCCAGGCTGAGCTTGCAGCACAGGGCTGGCCAGGCCTGGCCGTGTTGTTTCCTCTCTCCTTCCTCCTGTGAGGCCCCCAGCTGCCCTGGTCCTGTGGCGGGTGAGGGGGAAAGGCCCCTCCTCTGAGACACGTAACGGGTGTCCTGTTTTCCACCCCCTAGAGAATGAAACTGCTTGAGAAGGAGAGACTGCAGGTGGCTGTCAACCAGGTGGGACATCCCAGCCCCACAGATGCTGCAAACAGCATGGAGCAGAGCTGCCCTGCTGGTTGGGTCCTGCTTGGGGCCCTGCTCTGAGTGAGCACCCTGCAGCCAGAACCAGCCCCTGAGCTTACCTCGTGTGTCAGAGAGCTGGGGCTGGTCGGGCAGCTCTGCTACAGGCACTGCCTCCAGCAGCTTGGGCTCTGCTTCCCTGTGCACCCAGCTCCCGGGGGCTTTGACTGGTGGCAGCTGCTTGGCATGCACTTCTCAGGCCCTGCTGCCCTGGGGAAGCTGCAGCAGTGCATACATTTCACCTTGAGCATCTGGTGTGGTGTCCTGACCAGTCCCTGCCCTTTACCTCCAGCACCCTGCTTCTCACTGGTGTGCCAGCTTTCATGTGTCTCATGCCTGTCTCGGGCTGCCTCCCCATCACCCTGGCTGTTGTGTTTGGTTCCAGCTGCCCAAGCTCTGTGTCAAGGAGGGGTGGAGCAGTTCCCATCTGGCTTCAAGCTGCAAAGCAGTCTGGGTAACTCCTCTCTCTCTGATCCTTTTTCAGACATACTACCAGACCCCACCACCCACCTTCTCCTTCCGCCAGCGAGCTTTCCACAAGAGCGTGGTCTATGTCTGGGTCCTGTGCAGGTAAGGGGGCCCAGGGCAAAGTGTGGGGGGAAGCAGTGTGCCAGGCCCCCTGCCCCATGACACTGCTCACCCTCTGCCTCCCTGGAGCTCTTGCACCAGCCTCCCTGCCCTGCCAGCTCTTAGGCCACTGAGAAGGAGGGATTTTGGGTCTCCCACAGGGGTGTAGACGTGCTGACCCACTTATGCAGTTATGGGTGCAGGGAGGCAGCCTCAGCCCTGTGGCACCAGGGAGGGGAACCTTGTGTGCAGCCCGCTGTCCCTTGCCATCCCCAGCTCGGTGGCGTTGGCCTTGGGAGCCCTGACGCTGTGGCACGCTGCTCTCATCACCCGCGGGGAAACCAGCATCGAGCGGCACATCAACAAGAAGGAGAGGCAGAGGCTGCAGAAAAAGGGCAAGGTGAGCACAGCCTGCAGAGCAGGGGCGTGGCCAGGCCGCAGCCAGACCTGATGTGTGTCCCCTTGGCCTGCAGCTCTTCAGGAACCCCTACAGTTATGGCAGCTGGGATAACTGGAAGGTGTTCCTGGGTGTGGACGTGCCAAGGTAAAGATACAGGGAAGTCCCTGCCTGGGAGGGTGGTGACTCAGCATCATGTGGGGGTACCAGGACACCAGGGCTCTGCTTGGGCAGAGCAGGACAGTGAACATCCCATGCTGTGTGCTGCTCTGGGCTGTGCAAAGCATGGAGGACCTGGGCATCAGCTGCCCTATGGCTCCTCACTCCTGCCCCTTGGCAAGCTCTGGTGTACCCAGCACCATTTTGCCCAAGGAGTTGTGGCTGAGGAGCTCAGTCAGCACTGCAACTCAGGGCCACGGCTCACAGCCCTGGCTTGGCTCTGCAGAGCTGAGAAGCACCAACACTTGTTTTCGTCTCTTCTCCTGACAGGCACTGGCTCACCCGTGTCCTGCTGCCCTCTCCTCACCTGCCCCACGGGACAGGCCTGAGCTGGGACCTGCCTCCCTGTGTGGCCAAGCAGCGTGCGCCGCTCCTGTCCATCTGAGGCCTGGGTGCTGTGGACGTCCCTCCCCGCAGGCAGGGGAGCATACAGGGGACCCGCTCAGCCACTGCAGCTCCCTTGGATCCGAGCACCAGGTGGAAGGTGGGTGCTAGCACACATTGCTCAAAGGAGCCACAGCAAATACTGGACAATGCTGGTGCAAAGACGCTGCTCTCGGGGCTCCCTGGAGGCTGCAGGCAGCCCGGGAAAGGCGGCAGGGCTGCTGCTGCCCGCTCCAGCTGAGGGGGCTGCCCTCAGAGCACAGGTACAGGCCAGCACATGGCAGAGCTCAGCTCTCTGGCAGGGCTGGGCATGGAGGATGCACCCCTGGTCCTGAGCACTCCCCAGGAGTCTTTTTAAGACCATTCAATAAATACTGGATTTTTAAAGGAAGCCTGGCTCTCTTCCCTGGTGGGAGGCACAGAATTCTGGGGATAAGGGAGGAGAAGGACCCCTCCTCCCTCCAGTTCCCCAGTGTGGAAAAAGCAGCACGTTTACCCCATAGAAGACCACTGAGGTGCCAGCCTAGGCTGCATGGGAACCCCCCACAGCATTACCAAAATGGAGATATTTATTCCTCTGGTGTGTGGGCTGCCACACACCGCACATGTGTGCACAGGCCTGCCCTCTCCACTCACACATGGCCAGTCTGTCTGTCATTGTCCATGCTGCAGCAGAAGGTGGGTAAGTCACAAGTGGCACAGCTCCTTGCCCGCTGGGCGTGCTGAGAAGGTGTCGCAGTGAGGGTCCTGCCTGCCGGCTTCCAGGCTCCAGCCCTGGCCCATGGGGCAGTAACTGGGCTCCAAGGGTCCATGGTATGGTGGGGTATCAGGGGGCTGGTCAGATCGTCGATCAGCACAGGGAGGGGATTCAGGGCATTCACCTGCCTGGGCTGCCCAGCAGGAACCTGCAGGGACAGAGACAGTGCCATCAGCCATGTCTCAAACATGCCAGTGTCCCAGCAGCTCCAGCCACATGCACTCACCATTCCCCCCGTGCTGCCACTGCCTCCTTCCGCACCAGCCTCTTCTTGTCATCCAAAGGCTTGGCCAGTGCCCGGATAACTCGAGCCTTGTATGGGAGCAGCTGTAGGACAGAAAGGGCTCTTAATGAGAGAGCTAGGTTCTGGCTGCCCCCTGGGCAGAGATTTGGTACCCCCTTGCCCCTCTACATTCAGGAGCAGGCACCACACTGCTGCAGGAGCACTTACCACTATTGTGGGCAGGCTGGTAAGCGCATGGGCACAGCGCAGGGCGGCGATGCGGACAGCCTAGAACAAACGGGTGAGGGCAGTGAAAGGGGCAGAGGAGAGGGGCATCGGGGGGAAGGAGAAGGACCACATACCATGGTGGGGCTGGAGGTGAGGCTGAGGAATTTAGTGACCAGTGTGTCAACATGCAGGCTCATGATCTGGGGAGCTTCAAGCAGCAGTGGCTGGAGGCAGCTCAGTGTAGAAAGCTGCACCACACGGTCTGAGCAGGATAAGGCCTCGAGGAGGAGGGAAAGCAGCTGCAGGGGGAGAGAACACAGAAGAGATGAGTGACTCCCAGCCATGCACTGTGTGCTGCCACAGTACCTGCTACTACCTCTCACCATGGGCAGCTCTGTCACCAGCACAGGCTTAGGGAGATGGTTGAGCACATGGGACAGGCCCTTCAGGTAATTGGCCTTCACGTCTGTGGAGAGCAGAGACGGTTACAGGCAGCCAGGGGAAGAAGGGGACGCCAGCTCCAGTCCCCTGAGGTCACAGGCCGGGCTGGGGGTGGCCGCTCACCTGGGCCAGCCCCGTGGAAGCCCTGCACCAGCTTGGGGACGTTGTCAGTGAAGAAGCGCTGTCGGAACATGATGCGCACGTCTGCGTGGCAGCCCTTGTGCAGCACATCCGGGGACTCGGCCATCAGCAGGGAGAAGCCATCGGCTGCAGCAGGGCCCAGCTCTGTGTCGCTCAGCAGGCCCAGCAGCTGCGAGGGAGAGAGCCCTGAGAGGGGGTCCTGCTGCTGGGGGTCCCAGCCAGCCCCATGGGGAGCAGGCAGACTCCTGGGCAGCACCCAGCCCCACTGCTGCCTACCTTATCTGTCAGGTGGGAGCTCAGGGGGTGGTAGCGCAGCACCAGGGCTTTGGTCACCTATGCAGGCAGAGCAGATTCAGCACCAGGCCGGCCCCTCATTCCCCCACCCCACCTCTCTGCCCCTCTTCACCCAGGGCAGGCCTTACCCACAGCAGCAGGGTGAGAGCCTGTGTCCGGTGCAGCCCCTCCACCAAGCCAGGCTCTATCCTGTTCACTGCAAGCTGCAGGATCTCATCCAGCTGCTGCCCTGGGGACACGGAAGGGACAGGCTGAGCTACTGTACTACCAGTGGTGGGCAGGGACCCATGGCATCCTCCCTAGCTCCTTACCTGCAGGGTGCTTGTTCACTAGCCCCGCAAAACACTTGGCAGCTGTGGTGGCAGTGAAGGGGCAGTTGCAGGAGCAGCTCAGCGCCAGCAGTTCCCGGAGCAGCCATTCCTGCTGAGGAATTGCCACCTGGAAATGAAACGGAGTGTGTTACAGCCTGGAGCTGCAGCTCTTCCCTTCTTCTGCTTGTGGAGCTTGCTGTGGTCACAAGGCAGGAGGACACTCGGCCAAGGTCCCTCTTCACCCTGTTCCTACCAACTTACATTGCGGGGCAAGGAGCAGACAAAGGCCATGAGGAGGGCGACCAGGCGTCTCTGTGCTTCCAAGCACTCTCCATCCTGCAAGGGAAGAGCAATGCCCATGTCATCAGGGTCCCTGCTGCCAACCTGTGCTGGTATCTTCATTCCCTGCCCCTGTTCCAGCACTCCAGCCACAAGCACCCAACACACCTGGAAGGGCTGGAAGGAGCAGGGAAAACTGTTCTGGGGCAGGAAAGAGACCTCTCCATTCAAGAAGAGGGGCACCACATGAGACACACTCTGGGCAGCCAGCCTAGGAGAAAGGAGACGTTGCAGTGTGCTGCTCTGGGAGGGTCACCAGAGTTCCCATGTACCTCCTAGGAGGCACAGGGTCTCCCTGCACAGACAGAAGTAAAGGGGACACAGCCTGCCTCTTCCCCACGATGGAGTATCCAGCTTCCCACCCAGCATCACTCACTCAGGGCTCAGGTGAGTGGTGGCAGCGCTGATGACTGGGACCATGGCAGCCAGCACCTCTTCCTGCAGCAGTACCTTGCCCAGCGGCGGGTGGGTGCTCTCTGCAGGCAGCGGTCAGAAAGCAGGGTCAGAAACAGCGCCCGACCGCAGCCCGCAGTGCCCGCGGCTGCCGGAGGGCGGCAGCAGCAGCCGCCTGCTCCCGCTCCCGGCCCGCTCCTACCTTGCATGGCAGCCTGCACGGCCATGGCCAGCAGGCAGGGCACCACCGTCTGGTGGTAGAACCAGCAGCTCCCGGCGTCCTGCTGGCACTGCACCGCCACGCGGTGCAGGCTCTGGCACACGGAGATGATGTCTTGTGCGCTCCCGGCCTCGCTCCCTGCGGGACACAGGCACTGTCCCATCAAACAGCCCTGCTCTGCGCCGGGATGCCGTGGCAATGCAGCCCTCCCTCCTCCAATGGGATTCACAGCCCAGCACCGCTGCCATTCCCCCTCTCCCAGCCATCGCCAGTAACAGAGGCAGCTCTGGAGCTGTCCACGGTGGGCTGTGTTACCTTTCTGCACCTTCCGGAGGTGCTGCAGGAGGACAGGGACAGTCTCCCTCACGATGCTGGTGTGTGTGGACACAGCAGCCAGGGCCTGCAGGCAGCGCTGCTGCACGGAGCAACGGTCACGGGAGCTCTCCTCCTTGCACTCTGAAGAGGAAACACAGTCAGGGGGGTGATGCCAGACCCCCTCACCCAAGGCCCAGACCCTGCAAGTGTGTACGGGGTGAAGCAGCACACAGAGCTAGCCAAGGCACTCTGCCTGCTCTGGGGCTGGGCAGCTCCTCCCCACAAGGGTGATCCCACCTGCACAGGCTGGTTGTCAGCACCAGGCACCACAGTCCCTGTGCTGAGAATCCCCCAAGGAGAGCCACCAACCTATGGCATATGGCACAGCCCCACTGCCTGGCAGGAGCTGAACTGGGATGGGACAGGTTTCACTCCAGAAGACATTACTCCCTTCCCAAGCCCTACCTGACTGCAGCTCCTCTTCAAGCCTGGGTACCATGCGTCCAGAGAAAACCTTTGGGTAGATAGGGGCCAGAGATCCTATTGCCTCCATTGCTGCTTCACTGCCAGGGGGAAGGGAGTTAAGAGGGGTGATGTGAGTACTGCTTGTACACCAGCTGCACAGATCTGGGCCACTAGGTGCATCCAGAAACCCATTTCTCAGCAATCTGCCTTTTCCTGCCCTACTGGCAGGCAGAACAGAACTCCTTGCTTTGACAGGCTCAGACTTTTTAATTTCCAGCCCACAAATCACCTGGTTTATCCCTTTGCTCTTACACCCAACATGTTTTTTTAGTTCAGACAGGTCCTGTGCCTTCCCCAGGCTTTGTTCCTCTCCCCAGAGCATGGGTGACTGCCGTGGTGCCAGCCCACCCCTCACCTGCTCTGGGAATCCTCCTCACACAGAGCGAGACGAATGAGGTGATCCACAACCAGCTCCAGGTCAGAGGGAGACAGGAAGCCTGGAACAAGAGGAATCCTGCCTTCAGCCAAAGGAAAAGATGCTTGTGTTCTGACCAGCATCATTGCCCCTTGGCCAGGTTAGCAGCAATATGCCAGGTTCCAGAGGTACAAGGTGCCCAGCACAAACAGACAAGAGAGAGACCAAGTGACCCTGGAGCTCATGGCCTGGGTAGAAAGTGCTGCCACTGCTCTTGTACAACAGGCAAGGACATCCCAGCAGCCACGCAGCACCACGTGTCCCAGCACAGGGTGACACCTCCCTCTGCCTCCCCAAGGGAAACAAGGCACCAACCTTGCAGAGAGCCCAGGACAGTCAGTGCCCTGATCCCAACCAGCTGCAGCTGCACACTGGGGTCCGTCAGTGCTGAGAACACCACAGTGCAAACAGGGGCCTGGAGTGACAGCAGAGTGCTCTCCTCTAGAGAGAGAAGGAGAGATATGGAGTCACTGCCTGCACCTGGCTGCCACTGCACAGCCACCACCACGGCACCTGACAGACCCTTTCTGGGGACCTGCCAGCTGGCACCCAACCATGCAGGGTCCCCGGGACATGGCAGAGGTTGCACATGCAGTCAGGTCGGTGACCCTCCCTTCTCTACCAGCATCTGGGAAGGTGAGGTCAGAGCCAGCAGCCCCCAGGGACACAGATGCCCCCAAACGGACCAGCCAGCCTCACCTTCTTCCACATGTCCCCATTTCTGCTGCAGCTCCAAGAAGCCCAGCAGCATTTCCAGGATTGTCCTCCTCTGGCTGCTCTGCAGGGAGACAAAGGTGTAACCCAGATCACAGTCACTGCTGGGACAGAGCCATGCCTCAGTCTGGTGCTTGCAAGGCCAGCAGGCTCCCAGGGGATCCCCACCGGCAGCCGCGGAAGGGTGCCCATCTGACACCCTGCTCTCACCAAGCCCTGCACTGGGCCCTGCTCTGTGAGCTGGGGTGCCCCTCACCTGTGGGTGCTTGGTGTACTGCTCCAGCAGCAGGGGCAAAACGCTGCGGGTGACGTGGTGGCAGGCACGCAGGGAGGCGCCTGCTGCTGCCTGCAGGAGCTTGGCACTTGGCCACACAAGCTTCATGTCAGGCTCACAGAGATGGTGCCTGCAATCTGAGATAGGCTGGGTGTGAGCTACACCGGCACAGCTCCTCTGCCTCGTGTGCAGGGACACAACCGATAGCTGGGACGTGCTGCCAGGGCGCAGCTCTCAGCTGCAGCACAGCCTCCCCAACAGAGCTGCTTTCCCCAGCAGTGAACAGCACAGCCCTGGATGCCCCAGTCCCAGTAGAGAGGGAAGCAACTCAATCCAACAGGCATTTCCTACTGTGCCCCCTTCTCCTCCCTTCCTGCAGCAAATCACCTTGGAGAAGCTAACAATAGCTGTAAGTGCTATAAAAAGAAGAAAGAGGCTTCAAATAGAAAAACAGGGCAGACCTCTAGCTAGGAGGATGCTTGCAGGCCTGGCTGTTAGGAGCAGGGCAGATGTCTCTGCTAGCTTACCTTGCAGGATGCTGCCGAGGAAGGAATCCAGCAGATCCTCAGTATCAGAGCTGAGCACAGAGCGGGACAGGCAGGCAGCGAGGGCGTGCAGGGCAGTCAGGCTCTCAGCCTCCACCTTCTCACTCGCTGTCTGGAACACCTGCAGAGAGGCCACAGGATGAGCTCCACACTGACCCCAACCACAGGCTTCATGCTCCCGATGCAGGCTGAAGGGGCCAGGCTCTTGCCTCACTTGGACAAACAGTGTGGCATATCCAAGCCCCAGGGACACACTGAGGGGACTGGCCTGTCCCCCCAACTTTTCAGGTGGGGCTGTCCAAGGCCACAGGTTGGGGCTGCTGGGAAACATGGGGCCTGCCTGGTCTGGCTGTGAACTGCTCAGCAGGAGCCCAGTTCTGGTGGAGACTTGTTAAGGCCCTGCACTACTCACCTCCCTGCGCAGGGATGACCAAAGGCTGGGGAGGAATTCCTGCAGCTCCTTCTGCCCGTAGATGGCACAGCAGGCAGTCTGCAAGAGGGAGTCAGGAGAAGGCATCAAAGAGAAGCCAGTACAGGGAGGACACAGAGCAGAGACACTGCCCAGCCTGGCAAGCTCATGCTGAACTGCACAAACTACTTAAGTGACAGAAAAAGAGGGAAAGGTGACGCAGGCCAAACTGGAAATTGTAGCTCTGCAAGGGAGAGTCTCTGACTGGCAGGGCCAAGGGCTCAGAGGTGGCTGGCAGCTGCTGCAGCTGCCACAGGCCAGCTGTGGGCTGAAGGTAAAGGATTTCTCCTTACCAGAGTCTGCAGGGCATCAAGCTTGGCACTTTGCAGGTCTGAGTCCATCTTCTCAATGAGCAGAGGGAGAAGGAACTGCAGAGAGAGGCACTTTGACTCAGCCCACCCTTTGCACCACATTGTCCATGGCCCTGCAGGGCTGCAAGCTCAGCCTCTGCCAGGAGAGCAGAGGTGGAAGGATACCCACAAGAGGCAGCTCCTGCACCCTCCCCATGCCCAGCCCAGCAGGAGACAAGGCTGCACTATTGGATGCTCCTGGTCCCAGCTGTTCCCATCCCACAGAGCCACAGCAGGAGCTGCAGCTCTAGGAAATGCAGCCTGTGCTCAGGGAGCAATGGGGTGGCCAAGAACCCCCTGGGAGCTTTCTACCTCAGCAAATTGGGGTGTGGAGGCCAGCACAGCCCGAAGGCTCAGGATCAGGTCTTCCCTCTGGATGCCGTGTGGATCATTAGGAGGCTGGAAAGGAAGCAGAGAGAAGGTCAGGAAACCTCCCAACCCCGCCATCAGCTGAGGCTGCATCACCTCGTCTTCAGCAAAGCAGGGGCAGTGGAAGTCACTGCAGCCAGCTTGGCACCAGCCTGTCAGCCTGGGTACCGCAGCTAGCAGCCAATACTGCCCAGTCAAGACTCTTGCCCATCCTCAGGGACACAGGCCCCTGAGAAAACACCAGAAGGAACAGGCTGTGGCACAGGGCAGACTCACTCACTGGAGTAAAATCAATGGGGAAGTAACAGGATGTAACTTCAAACAGCTCCTCCACAAAGGGACCTGCAGGGAGAAGAGGCTGAGTAAGCAGAGATGTTGGGCTAAATATGCACAGCAGCTATGCCCAGCACCCACCATAGGCAGGCTCTGCAGTTCCTGAAGTATGTTAGGGACCACCCCAGGCCTGGTCAGAACCAAGAGCCACCCAACAGCTCACTGAAAAGTGACATGTGTCCCAGTCAGCTCTGCACAGCTGGCACAGGCTCACCCAGGGCATAGTTCTTGGCAATGAGATCACGCACAATCTGGAAAGCCACCAGCAGATTGCGGGGATCCTTCTCCCCATCCATCACCTGGATGAAGCCGAAGGTGAAGTCAGCACCAAGGCCCTTCAGCTCTGCAGAAAGAAGGAGCATAAGCAGGTGCAGGATACCAGACCCCACCAACATGGCATGAAATCAGCCCAGTTTCCCCTGCCCCTCCAGTTTACTCCAGCCAGGCCACAGAGCCCTCAGAGAAGGCAAAAGCAAACCCTTCTCCCAGCTTGGACAGCCCCAGAGTGGCACTGTCACCTGCCCCTCACCTTCCTCCCTGGTGCCCATGAAGTTGGTGATGATGCTGTAGACTGTGTGGCGGTCCAGCTGCAGCAGGGACTGCAGGGAAGAGCAGAGCAATCAGAACACTGCTGCACAAAGCAACAGCACCACCCACCACCCCAGGGCAGCACATGCCCTTGAGAAGAGGGCAGGACCTCCAGTAGCCCAGCTGCTGCTTCCTGGCATGCAAATCCCATTTATCCCATGCAAAGTGTGCACATGCCTATTCAATGGCATGTGAGCATGACTGTGTCCATCACTGCATGAATGCACCACCACAATAACATCAGAGCTACACATGTCGCCCAAGGCACTGCCAGTGTAAACAAACTGGAGGAGAATCTGGGGCCTGAAGGCTCTTAAATACAGCCTGTAGAATAGAGCAAAGGAAATAATTCCCTCAAGGCTGAGAGAAGAGAGGACAAGGGCCAAACAGGATGCTTAGCTGCTGTCTGCCTCTTGCTCTGCAGTGAGCCATGCTGTCTCTAAGCTCTGCAGAAGCACTGCACTGAATGATGCACTACACTGCACTGCTACTGAGTGTGCACAGTCCCCAAGGCTGGCAGGCCATACCCAGACACCCAGGGAGCAGGGATAGAAGGACAGGAAATCACATTGCTCACCTGCACATGTACCTCCTGGAAGATGGCTTTGAGCACAGACACCGCTAGCCCTGGGGACAGCACCTCACACATGCTCTGGGGACAGGAAAAGAAGAGCAGGAGTAGAAAGCCATGATGGTAACCATGTAACAGAGCTCCTGCCTCTATTCTAAGTACCTGCAGGATCTTCTCTTACAGGGAGAGCCCACTACCCCCACAGACAGGTCAGGACAAGGTGCTTATTATTTCTGCTGCTCCCCAGGGTAGCTAAGAAATCCTTGCCCCAATATCAGCATGGGGCAGGAAATCAAGAGTCTTCCCTCTGCTGCCCCTCTGCAAAGGGCACAGCAGGAGCATGGAGGAGACAGGGCAATGCCACCAGACAGGAGCTAACAGCCTAGCCAGGCACTGCTCAACCTGTATCCACGTGTTGCACCTCTCTGGCACCATCCTGCAACACATCCCAGCACTGTGGGCTGAGGGAGGGAGCTCACCAGTGCTCGGAGTCCCTGGAGCACCGAGGGAATCACAAGGTGATGATCTTGCAGGCGGTTCTCATAGAACAGGACCAGATGCAGCACTGTCAGAAAGAGACATCAACATGTGTCAGTCCCAGGAAATACAGCTGCTGGGCTCCAGGCCCAGCTCTGCCAAAAGCAGCTGCCAGAATAAGAGCGAGCACATCCTGCACTGGTGAATGAGGAGAAATGCCACTGTGGGTGCACCCACCTGGCTCCAACACCTTCACCCTCCTCTCGAGAGCAACCCATGTCTGACCGCAACGGGGCAGCACCCGCCTCTGTCAACTGCAGAGGTTCTGGAGCTACCCAAGGCATTTGCCTTGGCCTGTCCCAACATGTAGGTGCAGACAACAGCAGCAACAGGGCAGACATGGGCTTAGCGGAAGCTAGAGGATGTCATGGGGTGCGGCGCAGGGCTGGAGCAGCAGCTCTGGCTCCACAGCACGTTCTCGGACCCTGAGTCACGGCCATGGGCGCCTGCACGCCCCAGCCCGCGGGAGCGGCAGCAGGAAGCAGACTGGAAGAGCCAGCTGGCAGCATCCTGTGCCCACAGCTGTGCAGAAACTCACACCCCCAGGAGGCAACCTGACGCAGTGCTTGGGAAATGAGCTGCGTGAGCAAGAACACGAAGGGAGATGGGGCCAGCTGTGGGTGTTATAGCAGCTACCCTTGCCCTCCCAGGAGCTGGTTCTGCTCACCTTCCTCCAGAGCTCCTGGTGACTTGGCTCTAAATCCAGTTTGCTGCGAGTGCTCAGGTGCCCTGACTCTGCCAGGTATCCCCACTGAACCTCCCCACCTCCAGAGCACCTCAGTCCCCACACAGCCATCACATCTGACTCCAGCTACACCAGCAGAGTCTGTCCTCTGCACAGCTGCTCTTGCCTAGTACCAGTCTGAGACTTACAGAGCACCAAATGCCAAGGGCTAAGCATGTTTTACTTCCATCCTTCTCTTTCTCCACCTCTTATTAGCTGAGCCCCCCTGCCTTGGCAGCCTGCTGGCACAGGTTCAGCTACCCATCAGCAAGGCTCCCACTGGCTTCCCCTACTGCCAGCCAGTTGCTATGGGGCACTTAACACAGCGAAACCTTCTTCTTGCTTCCATTAGCAGGGCACCTTCCACTATGCACACCAATCCTCTACTCCACTCTCACCTTTACACTGATCTCTTCTCCTTCTCAGGCCCCAGGGTTCCTTCAGATTTAACTTGGGCAGGCCTCAGGGCTGCAACATGACTAGCTTTGTGAACAATGGTTTTCCTCCAATCACCACCACCGAAGGATTTTGACATGCAGATGCATCCTCAAGGTGTCCCACATGGTGCTGAGCATGCCTGGGTATGCAGTACCCACAGAGCCATACCTAGGGCTTTGGTGTCTGCAGGGACAGACCTGAATTGTGTGATGAGAGTGGAAAAAGGGCTGAAGTGTGAGGCCCCGTGCCCTCCCTGAACTTTGACTCGAGAGACATGCATGAAGTTGTCATTGTGCTAGATCAATCCCTTTGCCAACTGCAGGACAGCCACTTGAGCAGCACAGGCTTTGCCTCAACCTGCCAGCAGAGACTCAAGGGCCCAAAGCAGCCCTTACCTTCCTTCTCCTGGAGCAGGGAGTAACACTGGAGCAGGACTTGTGACAGCAGCTGCATGCCTCGGCCTCGCATCCGAGGATCTGTGTTCTCCAGGCAAAACCTAGCCCATGGGGAGAAAGCACAAGAGGTCTGTTGTGAGCAGGAATATTCAAGCAGGAAGCACATCCTGAGCAGACACATTATAAAAACAAAGAGGTGCTGCTCTCTGGACAGGGGGTGGTGGCCCAGTCCTGCCTGACCTGCCAGCAGGGTGGGAGCAGACTCCTCTGCCCCTGACTCTGCTGCACACATGCACCCAGAGCCATGCAGCAATAACTCCAAGCTTTCAAGTCAGACCAAAGAAATTGCTCTCGCACCATGCTCTGCACCTGAAATTCAGGCTCCTGAGATCACAAGGGCGAAAAAAGGGCAAAGCCTCTTACAATGAGACAATGCCAGCCCCCAGCTTGAGAGAAACAAGCCTCCCCAAGTCCCAGGCCACCACAGTGCACAGACAGAAGCAAAAAGCTGAGCGCCAGCCAACTGGTGACACGGTGATGTGCAGCTGTGTGCTCAGGGACAGTCCCAGCTAAGAAGTGCCCCACAGCTCGCTGCTGCCACAACACCTTGGTTCTGGGAGAGCTGCTCCAGCCTTGTTCTTTCCCAAACAGCTCCCAAGCCCTGGGAAGTAAAGCACTGCTTAGACCCCATGCTGTGAGCAGACAACATCCTTGCAGGCCTGCATGCTGCAGTGTGTCTGCCAGCACTGAAACTAGCTCATCCTGGACTAGTATGATTTCCCTTCTCACTGACCTTCCTTGCAAGGAATCTTCCCTTGCAAGGCCCTTATGCGATGTACAACGTGTAAAAGGCTTTTCTTACCCCAGGGCTTCTATAAGCTGCAGCACAGTCCAGCTTCCATCTTTCAACCCTGAAGAAAAGAGGTAGAGAGAGTGAACCAAAGAGACTCCCAGACCCTCATTCAGGCACAGCACTGGAGACCATTCCAGGAAGATTCCCAGCAGCACCACAGTGGGAAAGGCTGTCCAGCACCTCACTGAGCACTTGGCTGGTGCAGCTGCCTCCAGCCCTGCCTGCAAACACATGAGGGACCAAGATCTACCTCAGCTAGATCAGAGCTGAGAGCCTCTACCAGCTCCACACACCCTGGCTGCATCCATGACCAACACGTGCAAATACCCTAACATGAGCAAGCCAGGAGGAGACAGAGAGCTGCTGCCCAGGTGCTTCCTGAGGGAGAACTGCCCGAACAAACAGTCAGGATCACCCAGCTTCCCAGGCTGGCTCCACCACCTCCCTGCTATGCTGAGCAAGACCTGCACAAACTCCCTCAAATATGGAAGAACGGGAGAAAGGCAGCTCTGTGGTCAGAGAAAGACGAGGAGTCTATTTCCAGCTCTGACTCAGACACCTCACCAGGTTGCCTCACTCACCTCCTGCCTCAAGAATCTTGCAGCTTAACTGGGGGAAGAGTCACTCCTCGGGAGGTTTGGTAAGGAGCTGCTGCATCCTGCAAGAGCCTCGGCAGAAGGGTCCCCGTTCCTGCCACCCACCACAAATATGATATCTTCCCAGTATGACAGCTCTGTGTGTGGTCAGACATGGGGGTGGAAGGCACAGGCCTGCCTTTAGGTTCGGACCCCTAACCTGCAGCTCAGGTAGCATTACTGGAAACAAGCAGCACCCCTCACTCTTTGCCTGAACAAAACAGCTGTCCTCCACAAAAACCAGCACTTTCCAGTCACTGAGACGCACTGTCTTTGCCCAGGAGCACTTCTGGACACTCTGAATGGCCCTGTTCATCCCTCTGCCCTGCTGAAGTCTTGCCTACATGACTGACAAGAGCATCCACTCCCTCAGAAGCCTAAAGGTTTCATTTGGGGCTTTCCCAGGCCTTGTCTCAGCTGGTGTCTCCTGCTGTTGCAAGCATTTACTGGCTCTTCCTAAGTAGCTAATTCCAGGATTAACTCATGCTGCTCATCAGAGAGCAGTCTCTAGGGATGGGAGAAGAGATGAGAGTGTTTTCTGACAGCAGGCAGCCGTAACTCCAGAGACAGAGCTTCCAATCCCGCTTGGCACAGCAGGGAGAGGGAGCCTGGACTGAGGGACAGAACAGATAAGGGGAGCAGTGAGGAAGCAGAGGAGCCCAGGAAGCTGCAGAGTCACCAGGCACTGCCTTGAGCGATAGCTGTATAACCTGCTGGAAAAATCTCTTGCAGAGCAGTGCAACAGCGAGCGGATGCTGTGCACTGACACAAGGCAGAGAGGGCTGCCAGGGGAGCTCATACAGCCCCTTCACACTCAGCCCCCCGACATCTGCAAGCTCATGAGAAGCCCTTGTGCCTCTGAACCACTGTGGAGCAGGTCCGAGAAAAGCAGTGTCCCTGCAGCCAAGCACTCTGCCTCTGGGTTTCAGAGACTGAAAGCAGCATCTATGCAGAGCTGCTGGTTTCCTAATCAACAGGAAAGAGCTGAAGTGCAGTGATCAGACCACAATCAGCTACTGATGCTCCCTGTGGTTGGAGGCCCCTTCACCTCACATGGGGTGACCACACCAGCCCTGACAGCAGGACCTGTGAGCTCTGCCTCCTGCTCAGAGGCAGAGCCCTGCTGGCCACCGCTAAAGTGCCAGCACAGTGTAATTGGAACTGCTTCATCAGCACAGCAGTGAGCCCGTGAAACTTCTGCCTCCACATCTGGCAGCAGCAGCACATCCCCAAGGTTAATTACACACCTTGAATCCCAGTGCTCCTTCAGCAAGAGGAGCTGCCTTCCTGTTCTGGTGTTCCTGCAACCCCAGAGGCTAAACAGAAACAAGCCATTTACCCGCTGCTGCGTTATTACTCAAATCAATCTGCTCCCTTTCCCCACACGTCTGTCCCCGTTTCACACGGTGTTCTTCTAGACATTAATCACTTTTGTAAGCTTTCCATTCCTGTCTCCCCCACACCCTCAAAATACAGGGAGCGTGTGACTGATTTCTGTACCAGCACTATCTTCTCCTCATCTTATGACAAAACTGAGTTCAGCCTCCTCCTGCCACCCACTGACCCGTGCAGCCCAGCTGCCTGTGACAGCACCGAGCCCTTTCTTCCCCTTGCCAAGTCACTCTCAATTTAGCGCTCAGCAACACATGGGAGCAGCTCAGTGTGTTTCTTCCAACAATTGCACAACGGCCACAAGGTTAGAAACAACCTCCCCTTTTGCTCAGGGCTACGTGATGTAATTTAATACTTTGTGATGTGTGATTCTGTGCAGAGTCAGAGCGGTGAAGGAGACTCGCTGGCTCCTCCCTTGTCAAGGTGGGTTTGTCATAAGCACCAGCAGCTGATGAGAGCTGGGCTGGGGGCAACAGCAGCAACTCTTCTCTTTGAGTCTCTGAAGACAAAGCTTTCTCTGGGCACTTCTATAATATGACCACAGATGACAACAGCAGTTGTAAGGTTACCATTCCCCTGTCTATTCCAAATATGTTGGAAGCTTTGTGCGACTCTTGGAAGATCCTGAATGTCACCAGGTTTAGTGAATTCCTCCACATTTCCTTGGCATTTTCTTCACATGGGCCACTGGGTTACCCTCCTGTTCTGCCAGCTGTTCTGCCAGCTCATCTCCTCACCAAGCTACCATGGATCAGTTCACAATCCATCAGCCGTGGGAAATGTCTATAAGCTACCTCTTTCAGTAACGCAACCTATATAGTCCTTCTCTGCTCTCTCAAGTCCTTTCCAAACACACTGAAGCTACTGCCTAGAAACACAAACACAGCACCTTATCCTTGGAAGGTCACATTCCTGAAACTGCAAATTCCCTAATGTAACAAAGTCACCAAACCACCACCCCAAAGCAGAAACACAAATTACCCAAGGAAAGTAACTGCCTCAAGCCTTGCCAAGAAAGAAGAAACCACAGCGGGGGGCAGTCAGAGACCTGGGTCCCAGAAACAGGGACCAGTGAAACCAGTCACCCCCCACAGCATCTCAGCAAGGACAGGAGCTCCCTTCCCAGTGGTGCCTTCACTGATACACACCCACCCCCCAGACAGCCATAGCCAGTGGCTTCCACTGCACCACAAACCCTCAGTGCTGGGCCTGCAGCCTTGTGCTTGTCTCAGCTCACACATCTCACACCACATCCCTCTCCCTGGCACCTCAATTCCCTGTTTCAGGGGATTCCAGACCCTGACACCACCAGTTGACCCAACACCTTCAATCCCACCCCATGCTCTAGACCAGCCATCTAAAACCCTGATCCACCTCACAGACCCCTTAACTCTGCCTTCACCTCCTCATCCTCGTCCCTACAGCCCTCACCCTGGCTGCTGCCCCACGCTTGCCCCATAGTCCGTATCCTCTCAATGCCCAGCTCACCGCTGCAGGCCCCACCCCTTCCCCATGACCGCACGCTCCAGCCCCACAGCCACCACCGCGCTCCATCCCACACCCACAGCCAGGCCCGTTGCGCGCCCTAAGCCCTGCCCCACAGCCATGCGTGTGTCCAACCCCATGCTCGCAGGACCCGCCCCGCCGCACCCAAGCCCGGCTCCGCCCCGGTACCTGCCGCCACCTCAGCGGCGCGGCCGTCCTGCTGCCCGGTCACGAAGTCCTGCACGGAGGCTGCGAGCGCCGTAGCCCCCGCCTGGCCCTCGGCCGCCGCCATGACACCGCACACCTCAAGCAGCGGAACCGGCTCCGCCCTGTGCGCATGCGCCAGGCCCTGGTTTGGGGGGAACGGGCACAGGCACGCGGAGAGGCGGTACGGCGAGCCGCAGGGGACAGAAAAGTGTGGCGGGAGCAGGAGCACGCCCGTGGGCGGTGCCGGCGCGGGCGGTCACATGCGCACCTGGCGGCGCGGGGCGGGGCGGCCCCGGCGCTCAGAGCCGGGCCCCGCTGTCGGGGCTGCAGCGCGGAGTCGGCCCGGCCCCATGCCGAGCGCCGCCGCCGTCGTCCAGCCCCAGCCATGGGCGGCTGCGTGGGGCGGCAGCGCCGGGAGCGGCCCGCCGCTGGCAACACCCGCAAGCGAGCAGGTGAGCGGGGCCCGGCTAGCCGGCGCACTCGTGGGGTCACAAGGGTCCCGTGTAAATACCCATCTGCGTGGTGGGTGCGGGGGGGGGGGGACGGGACGACACACTGTGTCACCGGAGGGGTGCAGTCTGTGGGTGCGCTGAGGGGTGCCCAGTGTACGACCCTGGGAGCCGTTCTGTGCCCCCGGGGGGACCCCCGGCACCGGGGGTTCCGGTCTGGTTCGCGGCCCCAGGAGCGGGCAGGCACCTCGGGTCCCGTCCCGGCTTCCGTCCTGGTTCCCCGGGGGTTTGCAGGGTCACGGCTGGGGTGCACAGCGCGTCCTGCCCAGCCTTGCCGGTCCCCGGCTCCTCTCCGGGAGGGCGTGTCCCGGGGGGTGGAGGGTGGGTGCCCCCGGTTTGGGCTAGGTGGTGTCCTCCGGTACGCCGAGTCCCGCGGACTGCTGGGTCCCAGCCTGCCCGGGGCCGGTGCCGCCCGTACACCGGGCTGTTGCCGGCGGGCACACCGCCGTTCATGCTGCCCTGGGGTTTCGGGAGGTACTGGGTCCCGTGGGGCGGGCAGGGAGCGGAGGTATGGAGAGGGGCTGGTGCAGCCCCGCGGCTCCCCACGCTTACCGGTCAGCCGAATACCCGGGTGCCATGAGGCACCTCCCCGGTACGCTGCCATGGAGGGTCCCCGGAGGCCACGGGGGTTGGGGGGCGGGCACGGCTACCTGCCGGCGGAGGGGACGTGGGCTGGCGGGGTGAATCATACCTTTCTTCCCCTCGCCCGCCTCCCCGTCCGGTGCAATCACAGCCGGTAATTACCGTGTTTATGGCAAAGCGGTGGTAGGCGGTGGGAGAGGAGGAGCAGGAAGCGTGTGCCCGCGGACGGGGCGCCCCGGCCCTCGCCCGCAGCTGAGACGCAGGCGGGAGGGGGGGAGGTTTTCCCGTGGGATGGAGCCCGAAGCTCCCTTAACACGTCCGAGGTGCGGTGGTTGCCGGGTCTGCCTATGCCCGCTGCCGGTGGACAGCCATCCCCACCGTGCGGGGCTCCGTGTGTGCCAGCTCACCCCGGGGATGCCCTGCTGCCCCGAGTCAGGTTGATGGCTTCCTGTGGAGCTGCAGCCCTCCATCCCAGCATGCCCTCGTCCCCAGGGATGCAGGTGCTGTCCTGTGGGTGTCAGTCAGTCCTGGGATCCATAGCAGACTGTTCACTCAGGTCAGTGGGGAGTTGGGGGCCATTGCCTTGTAACTTGGGGCTGCTGTGGCTGGGGATATCAGATCCCAGCATCTGGATCTGTGTGCTCCCCTCCTGTGCCAGGTGACAGCTGGCTAAAGAGCCTGTGTCTCGATCGCCAGTACTCACTCCCTGCCAGGCTCTCCTGGGATGGATCACGGTGCCCTCCTGGTGCCCCTGTGCTCCCGGCAGCTTTCTTGCAGCATGCCCCTTCCTGAGGGAGCAGGAACATCCCTGGTGCCAGGGTGTCCAGGCTGGCTCCTGCCCTTGCTTGCATGATGCCCCCAGCCCACAGGAGCCGGTCAGTGGGTGGTGGAGGATGAAGCAAGGCTGCAGCTGCCCTCTCCCACAGTACAGGGACACTGCCCAGGACTGGCAAGAACCAGCATGCAAGGACCAGCTGTTGGTGGGAAGCCTCTGCTGCTGCGGGGACCCTGCTGAAGTAGCCTGTGTGCCTGGCTGGGCCTTGCTGTGGCCCCAGACATGGGGGTCTTGCTGCTTGTCCCCCGGATGGCCAGCTTGCCAAAGTGGGAGGAGCAGGGGATGCCTGTGGCATGCAGCATCCCAGCCTTGTCTGGCCCAGGAGGGGACTAGTCAGCACTGCTGGAAGCGCTGTCATGTGCTATCTGGCTCATGCCTCCCTTGGGGCTGAGCTAGCCTCCAGCACCTGCTGGCTGAGACTGTCCAGCTCTCCCCTGGGGCTCCATCCAGGCAGGGAGCAAGTTCCAGGGCACATCATCCTGCCTTGGGGTCCCCATGGAGGGGCTGAGCCTCAGGCAGGGTGCTGCAGGCAGGAGGCAGGCAGGCTGCCAGCCAGATCCTGTTGGCTTGAGTCCAGGCGCAGCGAGTGGCCAGACCTGTCCAGTGGTGCTGCTGTGGAGAGTTGCACAAGGGGCCAGGAATAGAGCAACAGGAGGCGATTAGAGGCTGCAGGGCCCAACTGGGTGGCAGCAATAAATAGACGAGGCTTAAGTCCCTGCCTACCTGGGCACGGCTGCCCGGCACACCTGCCTGCATAGGGCAGCCGCAACCTCTCCCTGTGTCCTCCTGTGGCCAAGCCCTGGGCCAGCCTCTTCCCTTTGCTGATGATGGAGCCGGGGACATGGTGCTGGTCATGAGTCCCGCTGTGTCTAACAGTCCTGGCTGCAGGGATGTGTGCACCAGCCCAGTGGCCACAGCAGCATGAGATGTGGTCCTGGCTGTGTCCTTGAGGCTGTCCATGGCTGCTCCCCTGCCCTTCCAGGGCAGGTGCTGCTTCCGACCTTGCTCTGTCCTGCAGTGCTGCAAATCCTTCCTGCCCGGCACCGTGACTGCTGAATCGGCAGCGCAGGCTGCAACCGGATGCCCTCTCTGAGACCTTGTTTGAGACCTGCCATCCTCCAGGATGCGGGCAGGATGCTGCCTGTCAGGGATGCTCAGCATCCAGCCCAGGGATAGCTGAGTTCCCATGCGGATCCCTGGTGTAGATGCTACATGTTGTGTCCAGCTCTAGAATGGCTCAGTGGGAAAGTGGGTGTTGTGCTGGCTCCAGTGGCCTTGGATGGGGTGGGACAGGGCTGGGACAAAACAAAGGTCATGTAGTGCCTTATGTCACCACACACTTGCCCAAGAAAAGCTGTTTGGGGAACATGGCTGAGGCCACAGCTGGCAGTGGTGGCTGTCCCCAGCATTGTCTTGCCTGGCAGGTCACAGTGCGGGCACGGGCATCCTTCCTGCCCAGCTGGGGCTCTGCATTCCCTGTGTCCTGTCCCAGCAGGCTGCCTGGCCGCCCCAGGGAGAGGGGTGGCAGGAAGGAGCTGTTGCCACTCATTGTCCCCAGCTCAGCTGGGAGTGAGAACAGCTCCTTCCTCCCCCATGCTTCCGGCCCAGCCGTGGGGCCAATGGGATGGGGCTGTTCCCAAGCTGCAGCCTGGTGTAGGAGAGCAGGGAGTGGTGGGACTGGCATGGGGGTGTCCCAGACCTGGTGGTGTCCCAGGTGGTGCTGCCTGCTGCAGGTCACTGAGGACATGGCTGGGGGCTGTTTCATGGGGCGCCAGCTCAGTCTGACCCATTGCTGTGGCTGCTGTGGCCTGGCAGCTCTCTGCCCCACAGTGCCCTGGACAGTGTGTGCCTGTCCTCTTGCCTTCAGCTTGTCCCTGCCATCCCGGGATGGTCAGAGAGGATGGTGGAGTCCTGCACTCCCCATCCTGCCAGGGCTGCAGCTCAGCCCCTGTAATCCCCTTCCCATTCTGACTCACCAGCTTATTCCCTGGCTAATTCCCCAAGCTATAAATACTGCTCTGCCTCAGAGGGCCCTGAGGCCTTGTGGCCACCCCACAGGGCAGGTGCTGCTCCTCCAGGCGTATGGGCAAGAGCCCTTGTCCCTCCTGGGGACAAGTGATGTCACTTTGGGGGGCAGCTGCTATGGGGTCATTGGGCAGGGCTAGAGATAGCTCTAGCTGAGTCCCCCTAGCTGTGCTGGGCAGGGCACCCCCTTGGACACTGCTGTGCATGGTGCAAGGGGTCCCCAGGAACCTGTAGGAATGGGGAGATGGGGGCTCAGGGCCCAAGTGGGGAGCTTCATCCCTTGGCTGAGTATCCTCCCCTCTCCAGGCCGCAATGAGCCCCTGAAGAAGGAGTGTCCCAAGTGGAAAAGCGACTACCCCATGACGGATGGGCAGCTGCGCAGCAAGCGGGACGAGTTCTGGGACACGGCACCCGCCTTCGAGGGCCGCAAGGAGATCTGGGATGCTCTGAAGGCAGCTGCCTACGCCGTGGAGGCCAACGACCACAGCCTGGCTCAGGCCATCCTCGATGGAGCCAGCATCACCCTGCCCCACGGTGAGGGATGACACCAGTAGGGTGGGGGGTGTTTGCTGAGTGCCCTATATCTGGGCACATGGAGGTCCCACATGGGGGAGGAGAGGGGTTCCCAACAGCCATCCATGCAGCTCAGCTCAGCCAAGGGGAGCTCTGCCCCACTCCCTGGGGTGGCCCTGTCCCCGCTGGGGTGGTCCATGGGGATGCCAACCCACAGCATGTCCCCTGCCATCCACAGGGTCCCTGACGGAGTGCTACGATGAGCTGGGCAACCGATACCAGCTGCCTGTCTACTGCCTGTCACCTCCTGTCAACCTGATCCTGGAGCGGAGCGAGGAGGAGGCATCAGAGCCGGCTGAGCCCCAGCCCAATGCCCGGCGGGAATTCGCCCTCAAGGTGCGGCTGTCCACGGGCAAGGACCTGCGGCTCAGTGCCAGCATGGGCGACACCATCGGGCAGCTGAAGAAGCAGCTGCAGGCACAGGAGGGCATCGACATGGCCTGGCAGCGCTGGTTCTTCTCAGGCAAGCTGCTCACCGACCGCACACGGCTGCAGGAGACCAAGATCCAGAAGGATTTTGTTGTGCAAGTGATCGTCAACCAGCCCCTGCCACCCAGGAACTGAGCTACCCCACACTGGTTGTGGGGCAAGGGCAGGGAGCTGGGGGCAGCGGCACCACTGGGGATGCCCCAGGCCATGTCTGAGCCCTGCCGGAGCTGGGGCAGACCCTGCCCCTCACTCAGGCTGCCCCCTACTCGGGTGACCGCCCCACACTCGGGTGACCCCCCTCCCCAGGAAGGTCTCCATGGGGCTGTGCCACCATGGTGGTCCCTCTTGGCTGGGGTATGGGCATGCACTGTGTTTGCTGCAGGAGGTTTGAGACCAAATGTGTCTGGGGTGGTCAGCACGGCCAGGGCGCTACTACTGGGCTGTGCTGTGCTGTGCTGGTGGGGAGAGGCTGTGACCTGCTGGGCTTCAGCTCACCCTGGCCAGGAGGCCCCGGGGTGCTGGGCTGTGTGGAGATGTCTCCCCTCTGTACATAGTCTGTATTTATCAATAAAGCCTTTTCATCCATCCTCTGGCCCCTGGGGCAAGTGTGGGGGGCTGTCACCTGCAGCCGTGGGAGGTCCCTGTGCCTCATCTGCATCTGCTTGCATGTCAGGATGGGCACAAGGAGAGCCCAGGCACCCCCTCTCCCTGGTGCCACCCTCACCCCATCCTGCCAGCCCCAGCTCTTTGCCTGCCTGGGCCCTTTCCCATACTGCCAGCCTTATCCCTTTGCCATCCTGGCTGGTTGCTGATGGGGGACCATCCCCTCCCTCCCAGAGCTTCCCCTCTGGAGGTTTCAGCCTGTGTCTGCCCTGAGGCCAGTCCATGAAGGGGTATGGTCCCAAGACCACCTTTATGGCCACCATTGCCTGTCCTGATGAAAACGGTGCCTTTCTGCATCTGGAGGCTGTGGCACCAATGGGTCAGGGCTCCCAAGGGTGGCCCTGGGAACTGCCCAGGAGGGTGACAGTGATGTGTCCCCATTTGTCATTCACGCAGGTCTTGTGCTGGGGGCTGTGCCCAGCGCATTAACTGTTCCTGCACAGGGCAGCACCGGCCTCATCTTACAGAGAAGAGCAAAGCCCAGGGGGGCTGAACAATGTCCTCACTGCCGGGAATAGCTGCCGGCTCTGCCTGCCGGCCCCACGTGAGGCTGGTCCTGCTGCCAGGCTGCCCTTGTGTGGCAAGGGAGGCTGGGCAAGCACCAGGACCCTGGCAGGGCTGCTCGGAAGGTTCCACACCTGAGGTCATCCTCCAAACCTGCACAGCGGAGCGGCTGTGGCTCCTGGCACATGTGCTGTCTGCTGGCTGGGATGTTTGAGGGGGCCCCTTTGCCTCCCTCTGGGGTGGGCAGCAACTCCCTGCCCAGATGCCAGGGAGCCTCAAGTGATGCAGGTGGGTGCTGCAGCATCAGGTTGTGTGGTGATGGGAGCCATGGGGAGCATCCTGGCTGCCCAGACACAGGACCCATGTTGCAACCGCATACTGTGTCCCTGCTCCACTGAGTATCTCTGTCTGCCTGCTGTGGGCTGTGTGCACCCCAGCTCCCTGCAGCCACCACAGGGGTCCCTGGCAGTGGGATGGGGGTGCACTGGGTCTCTTTAAGAGGGTTCAGGGCTGTGGAGGTGAACCAGGGCCGCCAGAAAGCAGGAGGGTGAGCTCATGGCAAAGCTGCCCCAGTCATGTGGAGCAGCCACAGCTGTTGGTGATCTTGGGCCGTGGAACGGAGGGGCCGGAGGCATAAAGCGTCGTGGCCAGCGGAGCTGCTGGGAACCAGGGCTGGGGGTTCTCTGCCTGTGGGGGTGAGAAGCAGAGGCTGCATCCCACACAGGGCTGTGCACTGCTGGCAGACATGGAGCTGGAAGTGCAACGGGCCAAGGAGCTCATCGAGCAGAAGCTGGCAGAGGAGGAGGAAGAGGAGAAGGAGAAGGTGGGTCCATAGGGCAGGGGGACCTGCCTGGGCTGCGGCAGAGACCCACCTTGTGCTGTGTCCATCCTTAGGGACTCAGAGGTGAGGAGGCTGGCACTGACCCTGCCATCCTGTGGGGTGCAGCAAAGTGGCCAAGGGCTCTCAGGGGCTACAGGTTCCCATCCCAGGAGCTCTTGCCTGTGGGGCAGAGCTGAGAACCAGGCAGGTGCCCAGCTTGCCAAGTAGCACAAGCCCAAAGGCTTCTGGGCATCCTTTAGACCTCAGTAGCAAGCAGTAGCTGTACCCAGAGCCATCTCCACTGGTGGGCTGAGGACAGAGGTGGTGGGGCTGCCCCGTGCACAGCCAGGACCATGCAGCACCTCCATGCCCATGCAGCAACACAAATGCGATGGCGCGCGGGAGCTACCAGCTGTGGAGCGGATGAACACACCTGAGCTGGAGGAGGAGAAACTCCATGGCCCCAGGAACCGGGGCCTCGAGGCCATAAAGGTGAGGGGGGCAGGGTTTGGGCCCGGGGGGGGGTGGATGCCTGGGCACAATGAAGGCAAACTGGGCACTGTGGGTCCCCTGCAGGGCCAGGAGCGGGTGCGGAAGAGCTCAGTGGACCTGCGGCGGGAGATCATTGACGTGGGCAGCATCCAGCGCCTCATCGAGCTCCGCAAGCAGCGCCGGCAGCGCCGGGAGGAGCGGGCGGCCACACCCGAGCCCCCCCCGCCGCCGGAGTCCTTGGAGATCGTAGGTCAGGGGGTCCCAGGGGATGGGAAGGTGGCTACGGGGTTCGGGGCTGGAGCGCCCATGGGCCAGCTCCCGGGTCACCCTGCCAGATGGGCACCTCCCCCGAGGTGTCCCCTCTCCTGCGCCCGCACGGTGCCCCAGCCCTGAGCCTGTCCCTTTGCCAGGAGGGTCCCGTGGAGCCAGAGACCTTCCTGCGAGCCGCAGTCCAGGGCAAGATGCACATCATCGAGAAGTTCCTGGCAGACGGTGGCTCCCCCAACACGTGTGATGAGGTAGTATTCCCTATGGCCACCGGCCACCCCACACTGTGCCCCCCTGTGGCAGGATGGGATGGGGCTTGGGGCATGGCTGGGGTGGGCCGGGGAGGATGGATCCATCACCAACGCGGTGCCTCGTCCCCGCAGTTCCACCGCACGGCCCTGCACCGCTCCTCGCTGGAGGGACACACGGACATCCTGCAGAAGCTGCTGGACAGCGGGGCCACTGTTGACTTCAGGGACCGGGTGAGGGGGATCCTGCCCCTGGCTCTGGGATGGTTTAAGCCTCTGGACTTGGCACAGCCAGAGAAACGGCAGGGGTGGGGTCCTCTGTCCCGAAGTGGTGGTCGGCAGGGGTCTCACAGGACTCAGCCCTGACACAGGGACCGGCTGGGTGGGGGGCACGGGCACAGGGTGGGGGTATCCCTCACATGGCTCTGTGCACCCAGCTGGACTGCACCGCTGTGCACTGGGCCTGCCGGGGTGGGCACCTGGACGCTGTGAAGCTGCTGCAGGACCGCGGGGCAGACCTCAACTTGAAGGACAAGGTGCGCAGGGCTGTGCCAGGGGTACGGGCATGCTCTGGGGAATGAAGTGTTGGGTTAGCAGGGGTGGGTGCTGATCTTCTCTGGTGTCCATCTTCTTCCCTTCTCAAGCTGCTCAGCACCCCCCTCCACGTGGCCACCCGGACCGGGCACCCTGACATCGTGGAGCACCTCATCCACTGCGGGGTAGACATCAATTCCCCAGACAGGGTAAGTGCTGCAGCCATGCAGCCAGCACTAAGGGGGCAACACTGATCCCTCCTCCCTTGGCTGACCCCTCCAGGAGCTGCCAGCACCAGTGGGGCACGTCTGGACACACACATCCTCCCCCTGGGGTGCTGGCAGCCGCAGCCAGGGCTAGCACCATCCTCCTCCCTGTCCTCATGGGGAGGTGGGTGTGCTGGGGCTGGGACCAGGCAGGGTGTCCCTGGTGCTGGACCACGATCCCCAGCCAGGCTACATCTCTCTCAGGAAGGCGACACGGCGCTGCACGACGCCACACGGCTCAGCCGCTACAAGATCATCAAAATGCTGCTCCTGCACGGGGCTGACATGATGGCTAAGAACCAGGTGAGCAGGGAACCAGCACCAGGGCTGTTTGCTGCCCCACCATGTCACACCACCCTGGCTCCAGCGTCTCTCTGCCTGCTCCGCAGGCTGGCAAGACCCCAACGGACCTGGTGCAGCAGTGGCAGGTGGACACACGCCAGGCACTAGAGACCAAGGAGCAGCCGCAGAATGGGATGGAGGTTCCTGCCTGACAGCGCCAGGCAGGGACCAGGGACCGGGCTGGGCTCCAAGGAGCAGGATCCAGCCGAGACTTGTCCGTGTCAATAAAAGCCAGCAAAGAGCAGCGTTTGTCTCCATGGGGCTGGGGAAGCTGGGTTACTGGGGAGCTGCTTATCCAGCAGCATGTAAGTGCCCTGTCTCCTAGGACAAGGACAACATGGGGCCAGGACACAATTGGTTCAATGGTGCGATTCCTTGCTGCAGGAAGCCCTGCTTGCTCACAGTGGTTCAAAGTCTCACTTGGGCAAGTTCAGCGAGGAGCGCTACATCCTGGGAAGCACAGGATGGCTCTACACTGTGATGGAGGCTGGCACTGCACCAGAGAGCAGCAGTCATACCCCTGCCGGGCAGCCACTCCATGAGGCTGGACGACTGCCTGATCTCCTGCCTTCTCTGCTGGCACCATCTCCAGGTGGACACAGTGATCCCTTTGCAGGCTGGGTCACTCATGCCAAGTGCAGTGCTCAGGGCCCCCAGTGTAGAAACACTCCTGCTTTCTCATTTACAGGAGGCCCCACACCATCACCCAGGGCAGGAAAACCCTGCCCACAGGCCCTGGACTCCTGCAGTGTCTGATCCCCTGCCAGCCCCTGAAGTGGGTGAGAGCATCTTGAGCTCACCCTGTACCGCCCCCCATGTCATCTGCCCATCCGGGTTACGGGTCCCTCACGTGCCCAATCAAACATTAACAGCCCCTCAGCAGGGCCGGCAGCAGCAGCACCAGCCACCATGGTGCTCAGCACCCGCCTCGCCTCTCCCCTCCGTCCTGTGCTGGCAGCTCTGCGCTGGACAGCCCCGGGGCAGCGCCGGGAGCACAGCACCCCGCAGGGACCGGGGCGCACGCTGGACCTTGGCGGCATCTTCCCGCCCCTCGCCACCCCGTTCTCACCCATGCAGGAGGTGGACTATGCCCGGCTGGAGGGGAACCTGCGCCGCTACGCCAGCATGCCCTTCCGAGGTAAGCGCTGCCCCTCTCTGTGCAGGCTCATGTGGCAGGGGCTGTGTGGCAGCGTGCGGGCAGCCCGCCGGCTTCCAGAGGATGCTCAGCCTCCAGCTGGACTTCGCTCTGGAGTGGGCAGCTCCTCGGGTACCCACCTAGGGTCCTTTGCATGGCACATGCCCAGGCACACGTGTGTGTCCTTGCACACTACCACGCACCAGTGCATGCTTGCACACACCCTCCACACATAGCTGTAGGCTTGCACCTACCCTCTGCCCCATAGGTGTGCTTACACACCTGTGCACACCCATGCTGATTCTGTGCCATGGGATGTGTATCTGTTGATTGCTGAGGATGCGTGGATGAGGGGGGCTGCAGTAACAGTCTGGGCATCGCAGGCATGTACCCCGGGGTTCTCCCCTCTTCTGATCAGGTTGTGAGCCCAGTGCTGTGGGAACGGACACAGGAGAGGGCACACTGTGGGTTGCAGAGCCTTTCCTGGGTGCGCAGCAGTGAGGAGGGGAGGGAGGGTGATAGGAGCACCCGGCATTCCCAGCTCCCTTGAAGCCTTCATGTGTCCATGGTGCTGGCAGGGTCCCAAGGAAGGGGTCTGTGTGCCACAGCCTGGAGCAGAGCAGCACAGTGTGGCTGTGGACACCAATAAATGCCTTGCTAGCAGTGCTGTGTGTGGCAGTGGCTGGGGATGGAGGCAGGCAGGCAGCGTGCTCAACAGAGTGCACACACAGCACGCTCTGCCGTCCCTATACCTGTGTCTCAGGGCTGGTGGTGCTGGGCTCCAACGGGGAGTACCCCTACCTGGCACCCCAGGAGCGGCTGGAGGTGGTGAGCTGCGTGCGCCGGGCTCTGCCCAGGGACCGCCTGCTGCTGGCCGGTTCGGGCTGCGAATGTGAGTGCTGCTGTGGGCTCTGTGGGGCTGTGTGTGCCTCCCAGGGCAGCCCTAACCTCTCTGCCTCCTCCCCAGCCACCCAGGCCACCGTCCAACTGACCCTCAGCATGGCAGAGGCAGGGGCTGATGTGGTGCTGGTCGTGACACCTTGCTACTACCGGGGAGCCATGACCAGTGCTGCCCTGGTCCAGCACTACACGGAGGTGAGCCAGGACCTGCCAGCAGCATGAGCTGGAGCAGCAGGATTGGGAGCGCATCCTGCACATCTCCAGCCCACCCCAGCTGCTGAGCATGGCCTGGCTGCCTGCAGGTTGCCGACGCATCCCCCATCCCCGTGGTGCTCTACAGTGTCCCTGCCAACACCGGCCTGGACCTACCCCTGGAGGCTGTGGTCACTCTGGCTCAGCACCCCAACATCCTTGGGATCAAGGACAGCGGTGGGGATGTGAGTGGGGCAGGGCTGTCCCGGGGCTGGCTGCCACCAAACCTGGCCCCAAGCTGGGAACAGGGAGCTGAGGGTGCCAGCAGGAGCCCTGCAGTGAGGGGTGAGGGTGATGCTGGCCCAGGGCACAGTGTGTCTCTCCCCAGATCACCCGCATTGGGCTGATGGTCCACAAGACACGGCAGGAGGATTTCCAGGTGCTGGCAGGATCGGCTGGCTTCCTGCTGGCCAGCTATGCCCTGGGTAGGTGCTGCTGCCCCTGCCCAGTGGGGGGCACAGGGGGCTGCAACGGGGGCACTGGTGGGGTCTGGCAGCCGGGCAGGAAGGGGGAGGCAGGCCGTGGGCAGCTATGGCAGGTCAGTGGCTGGCATGGCATGCCAAGCTGACTGCCAATGTACCCTGGTGTCCCCAGGTGCCTCTGGGGGGATCTGCGCCCTCGCCAATGTCCTGGGGGCCCCGCTGTGCCAGCTTGACCGCCTGTGCCGCGAGGGCCGCTGGCAGGAGGCTTGTGAGCTGCAGCACAGGCTCATTGAGCCCAACACAGCGGTGAGCAGTCAGGATGCTGAGGAGTGCCAGGATATGGCATAGCCCAGGGGCAGAAAACGATGGAGGTCCCTGGGGCTGGGGTCTGGGGGGACAGCACCCAGTTGGCACGCCAAGCCAGGCTGGATGTGGCGTGGTGGGAAATGCCAGCCCTGCCATGCCAGGAACAGCATGTCCACTGGCAGCAGGCACCTACCTGACCCCTGTGGGAGCCTTGTTGGTTATTTATAGAAAATGATGAGAAAAGCTACTCCTCCCAAGGTCCTCCACCCCACTACATGTGGCCCATGCCTGCTGCAAAGAGCCTGCCCGTGCCACAGGGATGCTCCCCAGCCTTGCAGACCCCCATGGGGAGGGCAGGAGTGATGGCGAGCAAGGAGCAGGGTCAGCAGGAGCAGGACCCATGAGCACGTTGCCCTGTCCCAAGAGTGCCAGCCAGCCCCTGCACCCTCCCTCCCGCAGGTCACCCGCCGATTTGGGATCCCAGGGCTGAAGAAGGCCATGGAGTGGTTTGGCTACTACGGGGGTCCCTGCCGCGCACCCCTGGCTCCGCTGAGCCCCCCTCAGGTTGAGGAGCTGAGGGGTACCTTCAGTGCAAATGGCTGGTTGTGAGGGGTGACCCCTGCCCCTTCCTGCGCTGAGAAGGCGCACGAGCCAGGGACCCCAGGAGCTGGGGATGTGGTGGGAACACTGGGACATGGCCAAGAGAAAGCCACCCATGTCACTCCTTCCTGCTGGGCAGGGTGGCTAGAGGGGGGACACCCAGCACCCTCTGGACACCCTTGCACACCTGCCAGCCCTCAGGGTCCCACCATCCCCACCTGAGAAGGGATGGATCCTTGCACCATGAGCCAGGAATAAACCTGCTGCCCCGTATCTGTGTGTGCTGTCCTGCCCATGCAAGCAGCCCCCCAACCCCAGCCCCTGCTCCCAGCAAAGAGGACACAGCCTGTGCGTTTGGCAACACGGTTTACTCAGCTGAGGCCTGTGCAGGCAGCAGCACAAGGCAGGGTCACGGCAAGGCACGGGACCGATGTGGGCAGAGACTGGCAGGGAAGGTAGGGCCCCTGCAGCCCAGCACTGGGCTACGAGGGCTGCTGGGACCCCTGCACCATGGCCAGACCACACTGGGGCAAGGGTGAGCATGCAGGGGGAGATGGAGGATGCATGCAGGCAGCAAGATGGGGAGCTGCGTGCTCCCTGCCCACCCTGCCTGCCCCTTCGCCATGCCCCTATCCCCACCCGCCCTGCCCAGCCCTGCTCCAGCCCCCTGCTCCAGCCCTGGCACCCTACCCCAGGCCTGCTCATGCCCCTCAACCCAGGCTCTGTTGGACCCTGCTCCTTGCTCACACCCAGTGTGCAGCAGACATGGCCAGGCTGGGTGTTCCCCGATCCTCCCTCTTGGGGATACTGCTGCAGATGTACCCAAGGCACAGGGATGAATGGGGGACAGCCCGTCGCCTGGCCCCAAGAGCAGGCCCCCCGGGTCCTTTGGGGCACCATGTCACCCTGCCCAGGCAAGTGGCCACCTAGAACAGGCACAGGCCACATGGTGCCCACCCTGCCTCAGAACCAGGATAGTGAAGTGGACCAGGAGCTGCCTCTCTGTGAGCACGTGGTCCAGCCAGCAGCTCCCAGCCAAGGCACCCTGGCAGTGGGGTCAGGGCTCAGCCCTACACCCCTGCTCCATCCTCTGCAGCAGGCCAGCAGCCCCAGTGCTCCACAGTCTTCCTGGGGGCAGAGGAGCCGAGCCCTAGCCACCCTGTCCCCGTGCTGCTCCAGCAGGTGCCAGGGCTATAGCCAGAGAGAGAAGGCACCATGGCTGCCCTGGGGCACTTGGGTGGAGGGGTCTCCCCCCAGCCACGGGGGTTCGGCAGGGGGGCTTGGTAGAGACAGAGGGCAAGGGGGCACCCAGCAGTGCCACATCCCTGCTCTGGGGACGTCAGGGCCAGCCGATGCCCAGTCTGGGGGTCCCTCTGCAGTGGGAGGGGATGTGGGGCATCGTCACGCTGTCAGGTTGTGGGCAGACTTGGAGGCACCCTGGGCCCTCTGGATGACAGCCGGGCACTTCTCCCGCCGCAGCAGCTTGTTGTTCTCAAAGAAGCCCTCATTGCGGGGCACGCCGTGGGAGCCATCGGGGAAGGTCAGGAGACCTGGGGAAGGGAAGGAAGAGGGCTGGGAGTGAAGGGGCAGAGAGCACCCACTGGGGCCAGAGGGACAGAATGGGAGATGCTGGATGGGGCCATGCTGAGCTGGGCACTCACCGAAGCCATACACCCGCCCGCCTTTGAACTCGCCCTCAAAAGTCATGTTGTCGCAGCGGGTGAAGACGCCGACGCCGTTGAACTTGCCCTGCACGAACTCCCCCTCGTACCTGTGTGAGAGTTGCCCCTGAGGCAGCAGCTCCCCGTGGCAAGGGTGGATGCCCACAGGGGTGTACGCAGGGCTTACCTGGAGCCGTCAGAGAAGGTGAGCACGCCGCAGCCGTGGAACAGCCCGTTCTCAAAATGCCCCACGTAAGCGGTGCCATCAGCAAATGTCAGCTGCCCAACACCATGCCTGCGACCTGGGGCGAGGGCAGAAATGGGCAGTGCAGGATGGATGGAAGCAGGGCCTGCCCCAGTGTGGTGCTGGGCAAGGACATGGGGGCTGCTTGGCCCCCAGCCCAGGCAGCACCATCCCCTCCTGCCCCGTCTCACCTTCCTTCCACTCGCCGCGGTACTCCTCCCCGTTGGAGTAGGTGAAGGAGCCTTTGGTGAGGGTCATGGTGACAGCCTCCGGCAGCGCAGGGCAAGAGCTGTCAGGGAGAGGTGCGGAGGGTGGCAGCTGGGCAGGGGGAGAACGCCGGTTTACACAGAGCCCCTGCATCCCCTGCTTGCAGAGAGGTGCGTTTGTGCCGTGGGGCAGACCACAGATGAGGAGGTGACCCCAGGACACAGCCGCCCTGCCCTGCCTCTGAAACCCCAGCTGCCGGGTTCAGGTTGCTGTCTGCCCCATGGCAGGGCTCAGGGCGATGTGAACCCACGGGGGTCACAGCCCAGTGAAATGTGAGCGAGTGGCAGCAGAGGAGCGTGGCAGGAGTTGGATGCATCCAGCACAGCTCCCTGGCAGGACCCAAGGGTCCTGTACTGCAGCAGGCTCAGGCCAGCGGCTGCTCTCAGCTCTGCTGGGACAGTCCCAGGGAGAAACAGGCATTTTGGTGCTTGTCAGATTATGCTTGGTACTGGCTCTTCAAGGGAGAGAGCAGAGAGCTTGTGGAGTTTCCAGCTCTAGCGTCAAAGATGGGCAGATCATAGAATGGTTTGGGTTGAAAGGGACCTTAAAGCTCATCCAGTTCCAACCCCCTGCCATGGGCAGGGACACCTTCCACCAGACCAGGTTGCCCAAAGCCTCATCCAACTTGGCCTTGAACACTGCCAGGGATGGGGAATCCACAGCTTCTCTGGGCACCCTGTGCCAATGCCTCAGCACCCTCACAGTAAAGAATTTTACCTAATACCTAATCCAAATCTACTCTCTTACAGCTTAAATCCAGATCTGGCTCACCCCCTGGGATGGAGCAGCTACTCCTCCTACGAGGGATGGCAGAGAGAGGACTCAGAGGTTCCAGGGACTTGTTTGGCTACCACAGGGTTTGCAAACCTCCCTGCTGGCAGCAAGCAGCCCCCGGAGGTTTGCACACCCCCGGAGCTGCTGTCACACAGCACAGCTCTGCCCAGTGCACAGGGAATGCACCAGCAAGGAGACAGCCCCGCAGGTGGGCTGGGAGCTGCCTCTCCGGCGGCTCCTGTGACGGGAAGGGGCTCCCCACTTCCAAAGGGGGTATCCCTGCTCACATGGGGCTGCACGTCTCTGGAGATGGGTGATGAGCCACGCTAACTAGCTGGACACGGCACCCGGGAGCACAGCAGGGAGCTGGCAAGCGCTTTGTGTCCGGAGCAGAAATGGCCCCCAGCCAAGGCGATCAGCGACTGAACAGTGCTCCCTGCTGATGGCAGAGATCAGGAGCTCAGCGCCAGCTCCCCAGCCTGCCCAGCGCCTCCGGGGGTGCCTGCAACGGGGGACAGGAGCAGGAGAGGTTGGGGCTGCTGGGGGCTGTTAATGTCTGCGGCAAGGGAGGGCTCCCACCACCAGCATGGCCTGTGCCTGGACCGGCGACTTCATCCAGGGCATGGGCAGCATCTGCCCCCAGGCAACCCAGGCTGCCCAGCTGCATGTGCCCACATTGCCACCCAGGGCTGGTGCACCCACACCCCGCTGTGTCCATGCACCCAGGGCTGATGCACCCACACCCCGCTCTGTCCATGCACCCAGGGCTGATGCACCCACACCCCGCTGTGTCCATGCACCCAGGGCTGATGCACCCACACCCCGCTGTGTCCATGCACCCAGAGCTGATGCACCCACACCCCGCTGTGTCCATGCACCCAGAGCTGATGCACCCACACCCCGCTGTGTCCATGCACCCAGGGCTGGTGCACCCACGGGCGGTGCACGCACGCCCCACCGGGACCAGCCGTGCCCTGCTGAGTGCCGAGGGGCGGTGCGGACGGGCCGGTCGCGCAGGGACCCGCGCTCACCTGGCTACACGCTCGCCGCCCGCACCGCTGCCCACCGGGGTCCCGCCGAGGGGCGGTGGCACGGCCACCTCCCCTGCCAGCTCCCTGCCCCGCAGGACGTTGCCACGCCACCGGCGTCCATCCCCGCCCGCCGTTGGCTATCTCCACGGCAACCTCTAGCAACGCGGCTGCTCATTGGCCATCTTCGCAGCACTCCCTTGGCGGCAGCCATCTTTGTGTGGGGCAAAGCGGTCTCCTCTCTGGGCGTGTCAGCAGAGGGGTAGCGCCCTGCCCTGCCGTCATCTTTGTGAAGGGCAGTGGAGGGCGTTGTCGCTCCGGGCGGCCATTTTTGTGTGGGGCACGGGAGCCGGCCCCCTGCGGTGGGGCCGTGGGGCCAGCAGACCCCAAGAGCCAAGCGTGGGGGGCTCCCGGCCCGCCCCATCCGGTACCGCTGCCGCAGCCGGCCCCGCGGCGGGCGCGGCTAGCACGGCGACTCCCGGTGTGGGCGTGGCGGGGGGCGGAGCAGCCCCTGGGGCGCGGTAACGTGAGCGGAAGCTGCCGGCGCGGGTGTCGCGGCGAGGCCGGGCCGGGCGGGTGCGATGGACGAGACGAGCCCGCTGGTGTCTCCGGAGCGGGCTCAGGCCCCCGACTACGGGCTGCCGGGGGCGGCCGTGCGCACCCTCCCGCCCGCCGCTCCCCCACCGCCGCCTTCCCCTCCCGGGTCCCCCGGAGGCCGCGACCGGGAGCGGCAGCCGCTGCTGGAGCGAGGGGCGCGGGGCCCGGCGGCGGCGCAGGCCCAGGCGCAGGCCCAAGCGGCAGCGCAGGCTCAGGCCCAGGCGGCGGCGGCGGCGGCGGCGCAGCGGGAGCGCAATGATTTCCCCGAGGACCCCGAGTTCGCGGAGGTGGTGCGGTGCGCCGAGCTGGCCAGCGAGCGCGGCATCTTCCCCGAGCGCATCTCGCAGGGCTCCAGTGGCAGCTACTTCGTCAAGGACCCGCAGGGGGTGAGCCGGCCCCCGAGGCCAGCGGGCTGAGGAGCGGTGCTGGCTGGGAGAGGGGCGCCCCCAGGGGAGATGCGGGTGCCGGCCCCGGCGTGGCCGGGCTCCTAGGAGCGGCTGGAGCTGCCCAGGGGAGAAGCGTGGTGGGACCAGCAGCAGGAGTGGGGACAGCTGGGCTCGAGTGCTGCTTCAGCCTCTTCTGTGGCTCTTGTACCCAAGGAGGGTGACCCGCTGCCCCAGGCCCGTGCATCAGCATCTCATGACCGTGGTGACTCCAGCCCTAGGGCTGCGTGGTTGATATAATCAAGGCAAAGTCCTCAAATTATAGCTGGTCCCCTGTAGGTCTTGGCAGCTACGTGGCAACCGTCTCCATGCCACCCACTGGATGTGTGTGCAGCACGGGATGGCTTGTCTTGTGACCTGCAGCACCCAACACAATTACTTGAGCTGTTGCTGCTTCCTGTGGCTTCCTGGCTGCATATGTGCTGGGATGCTTCCTGGGGAGCAGGATTGGGCTCCCCGGTCTCTGGTGTGCCCTGGTTTTTCTGCTCTGGGTGGAGCCTGGCTCCTCAGAGCAGTAGCAGGCAGCCCCAGCTGAGCCAGGGCAATGCACACTTCCTCCCACCACCCTCCTACTCCTTCCCGTTGCCCAATATGAGATGTGACATCTCCGGGGTGGGGGCTGGATGAGCGGCACAGGGGCTTGCCTAGCTATAGGAGACATGAACTTGTGAGGGCTGGTGGAGGGAGTGTGTGAGGAGCCAAAGTCTCTGTCCTCCTCGCCATATCACCTGGCAGGTCCCTGGGCTGCCCTGCTGTCAGTGAATATGGTGCGTAGCTGGTTTCTGTGGCTCCTGCCCAGAGTCACCAGAGCTTCCCTGCTGCTGGCATGAGAGAGTGCAGTGCACTGTTGTTGTGGGCAGGGGTGAGGCCACTGGTGGGGTGAGAACTTCTCTCTTGTGTGTGCTTTCCTCTCAGCTTCTGAGCTGTACCAGCTACGATGTTCCTCCCCAGCCCTGATGCATGTGGTTACTTCTGGGCTTGTCTGGCTCCCTCTGCCTTGCTGCTGGTGCCAGGGCAGACCTGTTTTGCCTGCCAGTGCTGCTCTTGGCACAGGACTGTCTGGAAGGGGATGCTGTGCTGCTAGGCCTCTGGCCTCCACCTTTATACTGTCCATGGCTGGCTGGGCCTTGCTCTACTGGACTTGGCTCTATGGAGCACAGGGCTCCGGTGCTGCCAGAGCTCCCAACAAGCTTTTTGCAGGCTCATATCCAAGGACATGTTGGCAGTTGTGTGCCTTCACGTGTGGCTGATGAGGGGGTTGCTTTCCTGCCTGCTCAGGGAAAGTGGCTTCTCCATGTGATCAGGGGATGTCTGAAGTGGCCCTGTTCCTTCAAACCCTTCCTCTTCCTGGTGGACAAAATGTTCCTGCCTGCCATTGCCTGGCTTCTGGTGCTTGGTAGACTGGGATTGCACTGAGGTCTCTTGCTGAGGTGTTCTGGTCCCTTTTGCTCCAGTCAGTTTGGGATCAGCTCTGTTCAGTGGATTTTGGAGACAGAGCAGGGACCAATAGCCCCCTCCTTCTCCTGCATGGACATAATGAACAGGAGTGAGCAGTAGGTCTCCCCAGCCATCCAAAGGTCACTGGGATGTTTACCAGGGAACAGCATTATCACTGATATCTTCTGGGACAAAGGAGGGTTTTTCCAGATACATGAGCCAGGTATGAAGGTCTTTGGGCAGCACCCTGCTCTCATCGGATGGGGCACTGCCTGAGGAAGGGTCCCTCGTTGGAGCTGTGGGGGTCTGCCTGGTCCCAGGAGCTGGTCATTTCCCTGGTGCACAGTCTGAGTGTCCCCACTGTGGGCTGGCTCGGGGCGGGGGAATGTCCTGACTCTGCCAACTACCTTGAGTCTGCTCTCCCCTCTCTTCCTCACAGAAAATCATTGGTGTCTTCAAGCCCAAGAACGAGGAACCCTATGGGCAGCTGAACCCCAAATGGACCAAGTGGCTGCAGAAGTTGTGCTGCCCATGCTGCTTTGGGAGAGATTGCCTCGTCCTCAACCAGGGTTACCTGTCGGAGGCGGGTGCCAGCCTGGTGGACCAGAAACTGGAACTCAACATTGTTCCCCGCACAAAGGTGAGGGGATATGAAACTCTTGTCTTGGGGAGGCTTTCGTGTGCTTCTGCACAGTTCTGCTTGCACCTTGGCTTGTGGCACTGCTGATCTCGCAGGTGTGTTGGGAGCTCTGGACTGGGACTGCCAAGCTGTGGGATCCTTGTTCTGGGCAGAGCAGTGGGAAATGCTGTGTCTTGGCTTTATCAGCCACACCAGTGACAATTGCCCTTGCTGACATCTGGACTCCTCTCCCCCCAGGTGGTGTATCTGGCCAGCGAGACCTTTAACTACAGTGCCATTGACAGGGTGAAGTCCCGGGGGAAGAGGCTGGCCCTGGAGAAGGTGCCGAAAGTCGGCCAGCGCTTCAACCGCATTGGTCTGCCACCCAAGGTATGGCACTGGCCTCCATGCCCGTCTGTCACTGCTTCTCCATCCCCTGTGGCCTCCTGTAACACAGCCTCTCCTTTCTTCAGGTGGGCTCCTTTCAGCTCTTTGTGGAAGGCTACAAGGATGCTGACTACTGGCTGCGGCGGTTCGAAGCTGAGCCACTCCCAGAGAACACCAACCGGCAGCTGCTGCTGCAGTTTGAGCGGCTTGTGGTACTGGACTATATCATCAGGAACACAGGTAGGGATGCTGCCTGGCCTGGGACACTGCTCCTTCATGTCCTGCCAGGTGGAGAAAGGGGATGGAGGCAGGGGCTTGGCATCTCTTCCCAGCACCCAAACTTCCTCTTGACATCACTTGGCAGTTGCCTCCAGGCAGCAGCCTCTGGGTAGAATGTGGCTGCTGTGACTGCCTTCCTGGGAAATGCTTTGGCTGCTGGCCTGTGTTCTGGGAGATCTGGAGCCACCACTGTACTGGGGTGGAAGTTTGCCAGCTGTGAGGATCCAGGGGCATCTGGAGATCCAGCACCTGACTGTGTCCTTGCATCCCATCTCATGCTGGGTTTACAAGTTCCTGCAGGCTGGAAGAGGTAGAGGGAGCACCCTGGGGCTTGCAGGCTGACCTCTCTTTTGTGAGCTGGGGATACATCGACCTCTCCAGTCTCCAGGACTGGTTGTGTGGGGGTTCATGTGGCTTCCCAGGCTTTCAGCAGGCTCCAGGGCTCTGAGGTACAGTTTGGGCCTAAAACTGGTCTGTCTCACTTCTGGGTTAGGAGTAACTTTCTGCCTGGTGTGGTGCAGATAGGCCCTGACACTGACACAGCTGGTTCTATCTTCCTGCAGATCGGGGCAATGACAACTGGCTCATCAAGTACGACTGTCCCCTGGACAGCGCAGGCGTGCGGGTGAGCGGCTCTTACTGGGCAGGAGCGATGGGAATTCCCAGCTGGCTTGGGTTTCTGAGTGGGAGAGGGACTGTTCATGCTGCGGGGTGGTCCTTGTGACCTGCTCCTTTTCCTTTCAGGACAGTGACTGGGTGGTGGTGAAGGAGCCCATCATCAAGCTGGCTGCTATAGACAACGGTTTGGCCTTTCCCTTGAAACACCCAGACTCCTGGAGAGCATGTGAGTTCCTCACGCTGTGCCAGGGCACCCTGGTGAGCCATGGAACTCCATGCTCAGGCATCTTCTTTAAGGGCTGGAGAGGAGAGGGGAAGGGCTGTCTCTCTGCAAACCTTCTGGGTTCACAGGTGACTCTGCCTCAGCAGGGGCTGTAGAAAGTGGGTACTGGACCCTGTGTCCCAGATGCAGGTGATCTGTCACCTAGGGGCATGTGGCACCATCCTTTGCCTTTCTCCAGGTCTAATGTCTCCTGCTTACTCCCACAGATCCATTCTACTGGGCATGGTTGCCCCAGGCCAAAATCCCCTTTTCACAGGAGATCAAGGACCTGATTCTTCCCAAGATCTCAGACCCCAACTTTGTCAAGGACCTGGAGGAAGATCTGTATGAGCTCTTCAAGGTGAGCTTGGGGAGTGGGTGAAGATGGCTTGGAAGGAAGAAAAACTGAGGTGGTATGGGGAAGCTCCCTGTCAAGGCTGCAGAGGACAGAAATGTGGCCAGGCTCCTGACTGTTCATAAGCTGAGGTATAGCCAGGTTATCCCTCTGCCAGGAGCTGAGGATTCAGTGTGAGGAGAAGCAGAAAACCCATGGGACAAGAGGAGAGGCTTGCTTGGGAAATAGGCATCTCCTGCGTGGCTTGAGGCAGCTGGTGGATCTCACTGTGTTCTCTGCTCTCTCTTGCAGAAAGACCCTGGCTTTGACAGGGGACAGTTTCACAAGCAGATTGCAGTCATGAGGGGCCAGGTAAGCTGTGTGTAGGGAATGCAGATGGGTGAGGCACAGAGCCTTGTCCTGCCGGTGTGGCAGGTAGGGTGATGGGGTGGATGCTCTCTGTTGCTGCATCAGGGCAGCTCAGGCATTGCTCTGTTGTGCCACACAGATCCTGAACCTGACTCAAGCACTGAAGGATGGGAAGAGCCCCCTGCACCTGGTTCAGATGCCGCCTGTGATTGTGGAAACGGCGCGTTCCCACCAGCGCACTGCCAGCGAGTCCTACACGCAGAGCTTCCAAAGCCGGAAGCCTTTCTTCTCCTGGTGGTAGCCATGGGAGCTACAGACAGGGCTTGGCTGCCTCGGACTGGCATTGCGAGAGGAGCTGGGCCACTGCTGGCTCCCGTGGCTGGGACTCGACCTTCTGGGTCGAGTGTGGCTGGAGGAACCTGCAGCTGAACTGGAGGAGCCAGGCAGGTCGGGCATGGTCCCTCCTCAGCTCCGTTGGAGCTCAGTGCCCTGCCTGGGGCAGAGCCCAGGGGAAGGAGTGGGAATCCTCTGGGAGCTGTGGTGTGGCTGGGACCCTGCCCCTCCCTCGGCCTGCATGCTGTTCTGAGCACCCCTGCTTGGGGCTGGGATGAGCAGGCTGCCTGGACCAGTATCCATCCAGGCCTTCACACCAGCCACTGGCCCCTTTCACACCGTGCTGGCTGCTGGGCTTGGAAGGCCTGTAGCAGGGTGTCCACCCCTCCCTTGGCCTGAGGGTGTGCTTGTACTTCACTGTCCCTCCTCTGCCCCAACCCTGTGCACGCTGCTTTCCTCAGGGGGAGTTCCTGCTGCCCACTGGCGCAGTAGGGACCACAACGAACGGCTGTTCTCTGGCTGGGGGCTCGAGGAGGGAAGGGATGAGGGACAACTCACAGGGCTGGCTTGGGTTCAGTTAGAAACTATGGGGAAAGAGGTGTTGACTTGTCCTTGTGAGAAACGTGGTCCTGGGAGGGGCTGTACCTTTGAGCCACCCTCCACAGCTGGAGAGGTTTGAGGGTGGGTGCAAGCACTTTCTCCCCTTTTGCTGCCCTGGTCCATCCCTCCTGCTGGGTCTCCACAGCTGCTCTTGCTTGGCTTTTGCCCCTGCTCCCAGCAAGCTCCCTGGCTGCTGTGCAGCCAGCATGGTGCCAGCCTTGTCTGTGCCTAGGGCCCCCTCGAGGGGTAGGGGACTTCTGGGGAAGGGCCAGCGTGGCTTTTCTGCTACATGGGAGGGAGGTGTGATGGGAGCATGGGGGAGGGGGAAAAGGTGTGCTCCTGGTTGTCCTGGTGCTGACAATCCCACAGGCCTGCTGTGGGGGTGAGGCCCCGTGCCCCTCACTCCCCAGAAGTTGCTGAGCTCGTGTTGTATGAACAGTACCAGGGCTGCTGCCTGCATTCGCTTGCCTTGAGCTGCAGCTTCTCCTGCTGCCAGGGGAAGCTGGGGTTGGGGCTCAGTGTCCTGTTAGCTCATCTTTGAGAGTTGGGGGAGAATGAAGGCAGGTTGGGGATCTGCTGCTTGAGCCTGGGAGGGGAGAGCTCCCTTGGCTCATGTGCAGGGAGAGCGCTCAGCAATAGCTGTGCAAGCACAGGGTGGGCAGCAGCAAGACCCCAGCTTCCTGGCTAGGCCCAGCTGCATCTCCAACTGACCCAAAATGTATTGTTCTAATGCACTGTAGAAATGTATGTAATGTATTTAAACCATGCAACCGTCTGAATAACAGAGCTGCCGTTCAGCTGGATGCTTGTGTGTCTCTGCAGCACCCTAGAGCAGGTCGGGGCTGGTCTCCTTGCATCAGGACTGGTACAACAGCCTGGCCCAAGGCCCTGCCGCCCTGGGGAAAGGCGAGGGGACTGTGGGACCCAGCCCAGCTTCACGCAGCCACCACTGTCCACCTTTTATTAACCATTGCAGCCTGTCCGTACACTTAGTGTCCTCACAGGTCCTGGCACCCGTTGTCCAGCAGCCCTGCACCTTCTCAGTACACCAGCTCGGTGCTGCTACACGGACCCTCTGGCTCCTTCTCTGCGATCCTGTGGGGAAGGGGCGTCTGTTAATGGCGCGGCCCCGCTGTGCTCTCCCCTGTTCCCCACCGCCCCGGTGCGCACCTACCGCAGGTGGCCGAAGCGCCGCAGGGCCCGCGCCATCCCGCCGCCGGGTTGTGCCGGTTGCCGCCGCCGGAGCCGCCGCAGGGCTCGCGCCATGCGCCGCTGGCCCCCGTACCGCCATACGAGGCGGGCGCGCTCCTCGGGCCGCTCGGCCCCGCCGTTCTGGAACAGGCTCCGCAGCTCCGGCAGCCCCACGCCCTGGAAGATGTTGGCCGAGGCCCGCTTGCGGCCGCGGGCTGCGGGCGCTGTCCCCCCCGGAGGGTCGCTCACCACCGAGGCCGGCGTGCCCATGGCCAAGGCCGCTGCGGGCGCCGCGGGGACGGCGTCAGGCTCCGCTCCCGGCCGGCGTCCCCCGGGGTCTGACGCGGCTGCCCGGTGAGGAAGGACGCGGCGCGGCGGCGCCGGGCAGGAGGCCAGCCGCGCGGGCGGGGCCGCTCCGGGACGCGGGAGGCGCCCGGCTCGGGCCGGCGCACGCAGGTCCGGTCCCGCCCGGCGGTGCCCGGGGCTCTGTGCCCCGCCGTGACCCCTTTTCCCTCGCTCGCACAGGCCTGGCGGGGTTGCCGCTTCGCGCCGCTCTACCGGGGTCCCGCCGCTGCCCCTCTTCACTCATTCACCCGCCGCGCCGCCAATCCGCGCCCGCCTCCCGCTGCCAGGGCCAATCGGCACCGAGGGGCGTGGCAGCACCGCCCCTCCGTCGAGCGAGGCCACGTGGCGTGAGTGACGTCAATAGGTGGGGGAACGGCGGGGGCGGCCCCGCCCCTGGGCGGAGCCCCAGCGTACGTCACACCGACAGGGAATCCCGGGTGACGCACAGGGGAGCCCTGGCGCGCGCCCCTGAGCCGGCCGCCGCGCGGGGTCCCTGTGCCGCTCCCCACGGCCCGGCCGCCGCCTCCCGCCGCCTCCCGCTCCTCCCCGGCAACGGGACGGGAGGTGCGCGGCAGCTCCCGCCCGACGGCAGCAGCAGAGGAATCCGCAGGCGGGAGGCGGGGCGGAGAGGAGCGGAGGGGAGAGGAAAGAGGCCCCGGGCGGGGAGGACCGTTAAACGCCAGATGTTTGGCAGCGGCTGCGGAGGAAGTCGCTGCCGGAGCCCTGAGTCCAGCCCGAGCAGCCCCGGAGCAGGCAGGGCCGCGCCATGGCCCGCCCGGCTCCCCCGGCAGTACCGCCGCCTCCGGGGCCGCTGGCCCGAGGCTCGCTCAGCCTCCACCGCGCCTACCTGCGGAGCCCGCTGGGCCTGCTGCGCCTCGGGCAGCTGGCGCTGGGCGCTGCCTTCTGGGTGACGGTGGCGGCTCACAAGTACGAGGGGGCGGCCCACTTCGCACTCTTCGCCGCCGTTCTGGTCTGGCTCCTCACCCTGGCCCTCTTCGGGCTGAGCCTGCTGGGGCGCTGGACCCTGGTGCCCTGGCTGGGCTCCCGCTGGCTCCTCACCAACCTGGTGCACGACCTGGCCCTGGGAGTGGGGCTCTACGCGGCTGCCACCGGCATAATGGGCTACAAGGCTGGGCGGAAAAGCTACTGCAACCTGCCGGGCTACAGCCAGCATTGCCTCTACGGTGCCTACCTGAGTGCCTCTGTCTGCGGGGGCATCGCCGCCTGCCTGTACCTCTTCTCTGGGCTCTACTGCCTGTCACGACGCTGCCGGGATGAGCGCGACATCATCTGAGACCCCACAGCACTCTCCTTCTCCTCGCCTGCGGATGGAGCGCAGCACCCCTCTGGGACAAAGTGACCCTGATGCCCCATCCCCTCCTAGCTGACTGCACCATGCTTCCTCCGGAGACTCCTGCACAGACGGGTGGACAGACAGAGGCCTTCCCCAAGCATGGCTTCTCCTGCATCACACCAAGACAATGTGGAGCTCCAGCCACTGCACAGGCCCTTCTCCCAGCCCTGTACAGATGTTGGCTATTGCAAGTGGAACGACCCAAGTGGAGAGTCCCTCAGAAGGACACCAGTTTCTGGGAGCACTCCAGGGCCCCTGCCCAACTCCCCTGCCCCCAGCCTTACAGATGCTGCATGCTCAGGTGGGTGCTGACCTATCCCTGGGGCAGAAGGGACTGGCCTGGGGGCGCTGGGCAGGGGGCTGTAGTGGGATTGGGTAGGTAGACCTGCCTCCCATACAGCCTTCCAGCAGCCCCTTCTCACCATTCCCAACTGCACGGCGCCTCTGCAATTCTCTAATGGAGGCCCTGATCTCGGCTTCCCCAGCCCGGGCCCCTCCTCCTGTCTGGCCTGGATATGTCTCCCGTCTTGCTAGAGCCCCACGGGGTTCAGCCCATCCTGCTCTGCACTCGGGGGGTGTGGGGACACCCAGGTCCTGCACAGCCTGACCCACTGTCACCCCAGAGCCTCGACACACTGTCCTGCTTGGGGCTGAGCCCGCACAGGACAGCACGGCCTCCATCGCTGCCGGGTGAGGGGAAGGGTGAGCAAGGCCATTGCCTGGTCCAGCCCTGGGGTTCATACTGCCCCAGGATGGGGACAGATGCCCCTGGGGTTGAAGGGAGCAGGGCACAGGGTCGTTCTCTCCCCCTGCCCTCCTGCAGTGAGGTTCATGGCTCTGAGCCACCAGGGCCCAGCTGCTCCAAACAGGACAGGCACAGCCTCACCAGCGGCACTCAAGACTGGCCTGCAGCCCTGCCTGGCTCCCCACTTGGTTTATCATTCCAGAAAACTCCTCTCGGGACAATCTGGCTCCATTTTGGGCCCTGAACTGCCTGGAGACCATGGCGAGGAAGAGGAGCAGGGTGAGCACAGCAGCATGGCAGCATTGGACTGCTGCTGGTACTGTGGCTGTGGGTGAGCTGGGGCTGGGCACTGTGGGGGCACGGCCTGCCCTGGGCAACAGAAGAGGATGCCAGCAGCGGGCCAGCCCAGCCCTGGATCAGCCTCCGCAGCCCACTGGGTGCCAAGCTCTGAGGAGGCCCTGTGGGGTTGGCTGGAGTGATGGGCAGCCAGTGACTGGGAACTTCTGGAGGAGCAGCACACTGAGGCTGCCTGGCCATAAGCCCTCCTCACCCTGCCTGGGGGCAGGTCCTCTCTGTTGCTCCTGGTGTGAGGGATGATCTGCCCCAGTCTCTTCATAGGCTGAGATCGGTGGGATGGGTGTTCCTTACAGTCGGTTCCCTGGCCACAGACTCTGGGTGTTGTCTGGGCCTCCCTGGTGCCTTTTCTGGAGTGGAGAGCAGCAGTTGTGATCCTCCTGGGGCTTGGGAGGGTCTGGGGTTGGTGCTGGGTCACCACTTCCATCATGAGGGGCTGTCCCAGCTGATCCACGCTCATGCTGTGGGCTCTGCCAGCCCCCAGGCCACCTGCCCCTTTCCTGGGCAGAATGTTCTGTCCCCTCCCTGTGTCAGGGCCGGTCCCTGACACCTCCTGCCTCTTGTCTGCTCTGGTGCAGCCCCTGGCTCATGCTGCCCAAGGTGTCCAGCAGGGCTTCTGCCACCACAAGTGCCTTTCCCTGCCTGTCACGCCAGCTCTGTCCCCCCTCCAGCCCCCTCCACAGTGCCTATGGATTCACCTTCCAAATAAAGCATCACTGGCGCTCACCAGGTGTCTGGGCCTTTGTGCTGGGGTTGGGATCTGCTGGGGACAGGGTCTGAGCTGAGATTATCCCTGGTTCTGTAGCCCTGTACCGTAGGGCCTCCTGTCTGGAGCCTCTGGTTTAAGCCCAGCCGGTAACTCAGCATCACACAGCCACTAGCTCACTTCCCTTTTTCCCCCCACTCCAGGCAGGATGGGGAGGAGCATCAAAAGAATGTAAACCCCATGGGTTGAGATAAGAACAGTCCAGTAACAAAAGCATAATACAAAACTACTACTACTAATGAGAAGGGAAATAATAATAATGATAAGGGAAACGATAACGGGAGAAAATATAAAACTAAAAATGGAAAGGAAAAAACACAACAAACGCAAGTGGTGCCCAATACCGTTCCTCACCAATGCCCAACCCGACCCCAGCAGTGATCCTGGCCTTCAGGGTAACTGCCCCCAGTTTATATACTGGGCATGATGCGCTGTGGTATGGAATACCTCTTTGGTTAGTTTGGGTCAGGTGTTCTGTCTCTGCTTCCTCCTGGCTTTCCGTGCCCCTCCTCCCTGGCAGAGCATGAGACTGAGAAAGTCCTTAACTGGGGTAAGCATTACTTAGCAACAACTAAAACACAGGTGTTATCAGAGCTGTTCTCTGACTAAAACCAAACCACAGCACTGCACCAGCTACTGAGGAGGAGAAAAAGAACTGTTACAGCTGAACCCAGGACGTGGTCAACACATCCTGGTGTACGCCGGGGTCACTGGCAGGATCCCTGGTGCTGAGCCACCCCTCCAGATAGAGAGCTTAAACTTCCCCCTTGAAGACAGGGGCTGTTCCCTGCCCCCTCCAGAGACAGGGCACAGCTTGGTCCTCACATGGGTGCTGAGTGCAGGCGCTGAGTGTGGCTGCAGGGACACAGTGGGGGCAGGATGGAGCTGCGTTCCTATGGGCTTTGTCACTCCAGACTAAAAGGGCTCTCTGTTCCAGGGCTGGGGCACTGCTGGGCAGTCGTGCCCACACTGCTGGGGCCCTGGAGAGCTGGGGGTGGGCTGGGGGCAGCTCCTGGGGCTGTCTCCAGCCCTGGGCTGCACTTTTGCGATGGGGACGAGCCTTGTACCTCTACCTGCAGATGGGGTGTCACCGGCACAGGTCACATGTCCTGTGCTGTACTCATAGCCCAACAACTGGCATAGGGCTAACAAGGTTGCATGGAGTATTATGGGATGGCTTCCCCCCTTTTGCACTGTATGCAGCTCAGGGTCCCCAGAGCACCCCTGGGAGTCAGCAGCCCTGCCCTCCTGCAAGCACCCGGCAGGATGCCTGTGGTGCCTGCGGTGGTGGGAGCAGGACCTGCGGCTGTGCCCTGCTCTGCAGAACAGTGCCAGGGTAGCCAGGGCTGGGCCACTCTGGGGTCATGGAAGGGCAGTGGATGAGCTGCCAGCCACGCTTATGGGCCTGGGGGTAACCTCCCATTCCCTCCCAAGTGACAGTGTGGGGACAATCTCTGGTCTCTCCCCGTAGAGAGGTTCCCAGCAGTGGAGCCCACGGGGACAAAACCACAGCTCCCTGCACGGCTGAGGGCAGGCCACGCCGAGACCCAGCCTGGGACTGAGCCCTGGACCGGGAGCTGACCCTCATCAGGACCAGGCCTGAGCCCCAGACATGGAGCAGCGCTCAGCCCTAGACTGGGACCGGACCAGCCCCGGATCGGCGCCAGGCTGGGGCCTCGGTCAGCCGCGGGACCGTCCCCGCCAAAGCCACCCCGCTCGGGCCGCACTCCTCCCATCCCCTCCCCTCCCCTCCTCTCCTCTCCCCTCTCCTCTCCTCCCACCACGCCGCGGGCGGGGCCGAGCCCTCACCGCTTCCGGGACCGGAGCCTCTTCTCGCGCCGGGGCGGGGTTTCTGTCCGCGCGTTCTAGCCCGGCTCTTCTGGTTGGCGGTGTGCGAGCGCCGCGGCTGACGTCACGGCGCACCTGGCCTTCCCGCGGAAGCGGCGGGTAGCGTAGCGCGATCCCGGCATGCAGGCGGGGGAGCGGGATGGGGCGGCGGGCAGCGCCGAGGGGGCGGCGGCGGGCGGGGATGCCCCCCTGGAGCTGCCGTCCCCGCCGCCCAAGGCCGCAGCCTCTGCTTTCGACCTGCTGGAGCTGGTGCGGAGCTACCGGCGGTTGGAGCTCTACCTGGAGCCGCTGCGGGACGCCGCCGAGGGCGTACGCTCCCTTCTCCGGTAGGTGCGGGTTGGGCCGAGACCGAGACGAGACCAGACCGTCGCCGTGGCCTCAGGTCCCTCACTCTCCGTCTTCCCCGCAGGTGGCAGCGGCCCCTGTGCTCCCTCCTCGTCTGCCTCGGCCTCAACTTCCTCCTGCTGACCCTCGGCAAAGGTGCGTGTGCGGGGACAGGGCCGGTTCCCTGCCCGGAGCCCCCGAGCTGACGCTGTCCCTCCTCTTCCAGCCGCCTGGTACTCGGTGCTGGCGCTGCTGGTGGTGGTGCCGGCGCTGCTGGGCTACCTGCAGGAGACGTGCCGGGCCCAGCCCTCGGAGCCGGAGCTGGTGCGCAGGAGGTACCACAGCGTGCGGCGAGAGGACCTGCGCAAGGTGCAGCTCTCAAAGCAGGAGGCCATCGCCCAGGTCAAGAGCTTGTGAGTCTCTGGGGCCCCACCGCTGTGGGGCTCCTGGGGCCTCTGCAGCCAGGAAGGCTTCTGAGGGTCTGGGTTCACACCAGCCTGCCCACTGTGAGGTGTGGGGGAGCCAGGGTGTGTGTTTGTGGGGCTTTTCTGTGACTGAGGTCTCATTTGCAGCCTGATCCAGCTGGAGGGGTTCCTGAGCGGGATGTGCTGCAGCTGCGAGGCAGTGTACCGTGTACTGTACTGGGAGAACCCCACTGTCTCTTCCCAGTGAGTACTGTGGGTCAGGCATCCTGTGGTGATGTCAGTGGGGAGAGAGGCACAGCCAGGCCTGTGGAGCTGCATTTGACGTGTTTGGTACTTGGAGAGAGGCGGTGGAGATCCAGATGAAGGAAGGGGGGCCTGTGCTGTGCTGGATTTGCTTTGTCTTGACTGCAGTGTTCTCCTGCTCCTTCTCAGATTTTATGGGGCACTGCTGGGCACTGTCTGTGTCCTTTACCTGCTGCCCCTCTGCTGGGTCCTGGCCATCCTCAACAGCACCCTTTTCCTGGGCAACACCCAGTTCTACCAAGGTAAGAGACTTCCCTGGAGCTGGCCTGTGTGGGATGGGTTGGGGAAAGGCCCTCTGAAGCCAGGTGAGAGCCTCTCCTGATGTGTGTCCTGGCCTGGGTGCTGTTTTCTGCTCTCCTCTATGCTGTGGCAAACTGGGGCTGACAACACAGCTTGTACGTGAGCATTGGCATCCCTCTTGATCCTGACCCTGCTCTGCAGGACACGAAATACACTGCCACAGGCACTGAGAGTATGACACTGTCCTGAAAATGTGTTGTCAGAGCGGAGGAGAGCTGAAGGTGCTCCCTGTTCTGTAGCACATTCTGGAGTGAGATCTCTGACTAAGGCCCCTGCTGTTCCTTATCCTGAGCTGGGGCAGATAGTGTGGCAGTTCCTTGCTGCCCTAACTTTGATGTGTGAGCAGAGGAGGGCTCAGGATAGCTGATAAGTGAAGGCTGTATATGCCACTGTCCCATATTGAGCCCTGGAGATTGGCTCTTGCAGCTGGCTTTTGTGCAGTGGGGCTGGAAGATGGGAAGTAACACCCCACTTCAGCTGCATTCCCCTCTTACCAGTGATACTGGAGCTCAGGGCCTCGATTGAGCAGTGTGTGGGAGCCAAACCCCTTGAGAGCATTCCAGAGCCTGCCGAGCCCCTGCCTGCTGCTGCCCCCCTGGACCGGACCCCCACACCCACCAGCACAGAGGTGAGTTAGGGGCAAGGCTGTCCCCTGTGGAGTGGGAGTTGAAGGTCACCTTTTGGTCTGACTGTGCCTGTGTCCCTATACCCTCAAACTGCTTCCAGCTGCCAGCTTTGGTGATGGAAGCCTGTGAGCTCCTCCTGAGTTGCTGGGGAGCTGCCCTGCTGCACTGGGGGCTTGGCTCAGTTGTTTTGCTGCATGTGAGGATGCTGTCTGGGGAGGCAGGGGCTCACTTCACCTTCTGGGACTCATGTCTTCTCATGGGGCTCATGAGGGGCTGGTCCTTTGTCCTGGAACCCACTACAGAAGTCTGAGTCCTCCTTTGGAAGGGGGTGGGGGTACAGCAGGATGAACTCTGTGAATCTCTTGCAGGACCTTACCCCTGGCAGTGTGGAGGAGGCGGAGGAGGCAGAGCCTGATGAAGAGTTCAAAGATGCTATTGAGGTTTGAGGCTGGTGGGATTGGGCTCTGCCTGTAGGGCCACGGAGGTGGGAAGGGATGAGAGCCTCGGTGGGCAAGCTGGGTGCTCGAGGAGGGTGGCCGTGGGACTGGGTGCCTCTGACTCAGTCTGTACTGCCTCTCCTCTATCCCATGCTGCTGGAAAAGGAGAACCAGCTGCTGGTCATGGTGAGTACTGCCATGCCAAGTCATGCTGGAGCAGCTGGCAGCCTTTTCCTGGTTTGCTGGTGGCTTGTGGGGATGTCATATGGAGCATCCTGCCTGTTGGGTGCCCATCTCTGGGCTGGGCCGCCCTGCAGCCCACAAGCATGCTCACAGCCACCCCTCCACTCTCAACTGGTTCTGCTCTCTGCAGGAGGATGATGAGAGCTCTCAGTGCTCAGCAGATTTTGACCTCAGCCTCCCAGACAATGGTTTTATGAGCAAAAATGAGGTGATCCGCAGCAAAGTGTCGCGCCTCACTGAGCGCCTGCGCAAGCGCTACCCCAGCAACAACTTTGGTAAGGCTCAGGGGAGCTCAGCATTGCAGGGGTTATGCTGCTGTGGTGACCACTGCATTGGGAATGGACAGAGTGGGGATGTACCTGCTAAGGCTGTGTTGACACCTTCAGTGACCTCCCTTCTCCGTGGGGAGGATATTTCCAGGCTTCCTAGGAGGGGCAAAGATGGGAAGGTGCAG